GACGTACAGTTCATCAACACCGTCTCGGCGACATCATCAGCGTTGTGTCCTGTGACGACATGCTTGACGCCGAGTCTTGATGCGCCGCGATCGAGGGCTTGTCGTCTGAAGACGCCGCAATAGGTACAATTTCCCTTTTTACCAACTTGCTCTACAACCTGGTCCATAGTCCATCCGTACAGCTCAGCGTAGCCGAGTATAGTCAGAGGCATGTCGTACTGCTGAGCGTTTCGCTTTACAGTTTCAAGGCTGTCGTCACGATAGCCCTTGATTCCCTCGTCAATGGACAAGAGGATGAGATCAAGCCCATAGTCGTAGCGCTCGTTGAGTGTCTTGAGAACGGAGGCAAGCACAGTGCTGTCTTTTCCACCCGAAGCGCCAATGGCGACTTTTTCGCCGCAGTGGAAGAGGGAATTAGTCGTGATGGTGTGGTGGATTTCGGTTTCGAAGACGGCGATGAAGCACATCTTGCATAAACGGGAGTGGTCCTTTGGACGCAGGATCAGCGCGCGATTGACGCTGCAGAGAGCGCAGGGCGAGGGCGGCATGGCTTGGCGCTGTTCTGTGGTTGTTGTCGTTGTGGTTGTCTCGTGTGGCGGGGGTGAAGGAAATGCGACAGGCTTGGTGGGCGACTGCGGGGCGCAGTGAGTGGCGCAGACAAGTGGCGCATGAGTCATGACAGCCGGTAGGCGGGGCAGAATCGCTACCGTCATCGCTGAAACGACGGGCTGGACTGTGACGCCTGCTGTACCTGATCATCCACCATCCATCGGCATCACTACGGCATCTCAGAATACCGCATCCTGGCCCTGTTCCTGGGGATCCCGTCCCGCATCGATGCAGACATGTGCCTGCACTGGTGTACATAGCACGTTCCTGCACGCGCCAAACTATGGTTGAGCGCCTTGCAACCCGCCTTGGCCCACTACGGAAACCTATGATGCTAGTATAGTAATCATAGTCTGTCACCAACTCGTCAATACCAGCACCTCGCCGACGCCAACCCAAGGGACCTGACGGCGCCTGTAACTTCAGCGCCCATCCTTTGACAGCTACGCCGGCGGCGCATTGCGCAATATGACTGCTGCCGCCAGTAGATCTCACCCACTGTTGACTTTTCTCTTCTTCACCTGTCTGCTTGCGCGGACATGGCCGCGAGCGCAAATTTCCACTTGCTGCCGTCCCTTGTGGGCAGCTGAAGTCATGTTTGGTGGCGCCTTCACGAGCTGGTCTTTTGCCCTTCTAGCCTTCAGCCTTTAAGTACGCTTCGGCACTGCTTCCCTCAACTTATTCCCGGCCGCTACGTCAATATGGGATGCAACCCATGTACTCGTGGCCATGTCCCGTGCAATCACATGGCCTATATACACGGACATGCCCTAGAAGCTGATCTCGCGTCTCCGGGAACTCCCTGTCTTACGACTTTAGAGTTTGCTCGGGCCCTGTTTGACATCACGTCGATCCGCTAGGTTGCTCACTCACTCACTCATGGTTGTCTGCACATCACTTTGCTCAAGGTCAGGTGTACTACCGAAACCGCTTCTCCTTTACCCAATTCTACTTTGACTTGCTACTTGTAACCAATAGAGCATTTAGACTTTGCTAAACAACTGTCCAGGAAGCTCCCGCGACCCTGCGGATGTGGCATAAGCCGGATGCACACTTACCAGGCCAAGTGCCGTAGTGATGTTAGTAGCTCCAAACACCAAGACACCAGACCACTCACAGTCGCCGTCGTTGTCATACGAGTCATGCTATTCATCGTCTGGAGGCTGATAGCAACGGTTACTCCTGTCCACTAACTCTCAACTTCGACACCGGCTCAAGGTCGGCCAGGCCATGTTTATTGACGCCACAAAACGCTGCGCCTGACGAGGTAATGCGGCTCGGAAATTTGTTTCAGTATCTCGTCCTCTAAAACGACATACAAACTCAAAGTCATGCACTTGTGTTGGACCCTGGTAATGTTGCTGTGGAGCGAAAGTCATCCATAAACCACATCAGCCAAGGGCTCCTTGCGAAAACGTCCAAAAAAATCTACGTCCAATGCAGCCACCAAGGCACAAGGAGCTGACTCCGGGGTGGTGTACGATTAGATGAGGATCGGCTATTTTGTTTGGAGACTTTCGACTGCCAGGCACCGCACTGGCCCCTTCAACGCAATACACGAAGCCTCTTCCGACTCTAGTAACGTATCTAGCTACACACTAACGATATATCGTTCTCTCGCAAGCCTCTTTTGCCACGCTAGTCGCTTGTGCATAATCGGGCGACTCCCGTGTCCAAGAATTAGGCCGGCTGGTTTCGTCGTCGATCTTTTCGTGTGCTGAACCCCTACGCGCAATGGTTCGCCGATGGCAATGCTGTCAGCGATACCCCTTCAACGCAACGCGTCCGTATAAGGCACGACTTTTCCCGTAGCTTTTTGCTTACCAGTTTCGTCGATTGCGACGCTCAACACACTCCTTTGTACAATTTTCTTACACAACAAGATGGAGGCCCATGTCATGCTCGACACCCTTGGGTGGGTTTACACTAGCATCTTCATCACCTGGAACGTCGTCTTTGTTGCATGTCTTGTATTTCTTTGGTTTCATCGTCAGCACCCCTCTCTTCGCATACGAAGACTGCCATTGTTATTCGCTGGTATTATTCCACTGCACGCCTACGGCTCTATTTGCTGTCTCGGTAAGTAAAGTCAGACAATTATGCTTTCAAGTCCTAATAGGAACTTGTCAATGACAAGTTGACTGTTTCCTTCATCAAAGCCTATTCGTCTTTGATACGCTGCGAGCATGAGCTGACTTTACTTGCAATCAGCATACGTAATTGGCCCTATCGTCAGTTGCTCCGTAGAGTTCTGGATGATGTCGATCTTGGTGCCAGTGGGCATGGGTACGTATTTTTGCTTGTTCAAGGACGTGAGTAATATACTAATATCGATCAGCATTGTTCCATGCTTCCAACAGTCAATTTCTACACATTGCCAGCCGTCAGAAGCAGTTTGCTCGCATGAGCTCGCTCAAGGATCATGCGCCAGTTGATGAGAAGGCTGCGCAAGAGGTTGCCAATAGCCGATGGCGAAGAATCGCACAGGGGCTTGAGCGCGCTGACAAGATCAAACGAACACTCATTTTCATTGGAATCGGCATGGCTTTCCAAGTAAGATTGTCAGCTCATAGTTGGAAGGATTTGCATCTAACATTGTGACCAGTTGGCACTCGTCGTTTTTGTTTTCTTTGCTTCAAGGAAGTTCCACTACAACTACGGTATCATCGACTACACAGTCAAAGGCACTGGCATGGAAGTACGCATGAACTGCAGCAAAGGGTGGGAGTGGTGGCTGTCGATTGTATGGCAGTTCTTCTGGTCTTGGGTATACGCACCCTGGATTCTCTTCAAATCTCGGGGTATCCGCGATGTTCACGGTTGGCGCCTGCAGACCATCTGCTGTTGTCTTGTGGGGTATGTCTTTCCTAAACCATGTACCAAGCACTCTGCTGACTTTTCGCAGTCTTCCAGCATCCCCTTTGTGGCTTGCTGGTCTCTACGCTCCTGAGTTCGGAGTTGTAAACGCTGTCTTTCCTCCACCACTTTGGTTCTCTGTCTGCTTCGGCCTGGTAGAGGTCTTCACAATTGGGTCTACTATTCGCGATTTGCTTCAAGGCAACAAGCTTCGCCAAGAGACACTGGATGCTATTGCTGATTGGGAGGCGCGTCAAGCGACCAATGGCTTGGGCGCAACTACTGGTGAGGAGCTGAAGAAGAGTCCTAGCGAGTTCTCGGGATCCACCGCCCTCGAGTCCGTTGGTGATTCCAGCTTTAGCAAACAGTCGTTTGATTCGAAGTCAGACATCTTGACGATGACTGCTTTGGAGAACGCTCTCCGAACCAACCCCATGCCGCTCCTTGAGTTCGCTGCATTGAAGGATTTCTCTGGTACGTACTCTCTAGATGCGCATTATCTAGTTGAACATGCACTGACCGTACAACAGGCGAGAACGTCAGCTTCCTTACCCATGTGGCAGATTGGCGACGCCAATGGTTTTCGCAAAAATCATCGACCGCGGAGCACAACCGCAATCAATTTGTGGCTGCTGTCCGCATCTACGCTCATTTCATCTCTCTCGAATTCTCAGAGTTCCCTATCAACATTTCTTCCAAGGAGATGAAGCGACTTCATCATGTCTTTGTAGATGCTGCTGTTGCACTAATTGGTCGTCGCCGAAACTCCCATTCATCCTCGTCAAGCGACAACGCGACACCTTTCGACAATGTTTACCCAGACGACGCTTCTGATATGCCTATTCACGACAAGAGCGCAAACAATTCTATCAAGGAACTCAAGGGTGCCATCAGCCTTGACAACCTTGGGCGTGCCAACCTGAGAGCTGTGGCGCACATGGAGCCAGGCTGGCTCGATGGCACGCTGGCAGACATCAAGATCCCAAACAATTTCAACGAGATGGTTTTTGATGCCGCCGAGAAAGAAATCAAGTACCTTGTCCTCACAAATACCTGGCCCAAGTTTGTACAGGTTTCACGCGCAAACAGCGAGATGAGTAAAGATGATCCGGAGAAGGGCAACAATGCTTGGATGCACAAGTTTTTATGTCATCACCCTTGATGAACTACCAATCACGTTTTTCAATACTATAGTTAATCATGTAATATAATGACAAGCCGGTTAATCGTCGGCACAATTTTTCTTTTCTACACTATGAAGTTCCTGGACACACCTGAAGTGTTGATTCGATCTTGCCCATGTATCCTCAAAGAAATCTCAAATCAAGAGCGATAGAGGTTGGGCTGATACTTTGCACAGGAATGAACGAGTCTATTCACATACAATGGATCAAGAAACATATAACCAAAGAATCAAATGACTACAACAAGGTATGTTGGGAGAAAGAGGAGGGAGTGTAGACATACCAGGTTTGGCCTTTAGTAACATGGAAAAGCAAGCAACCACGAGGACCACAAATTTCTTGCTCTTCAACTTAGCAGGCTTCGTTTTGGGTGAGATAGACGAGACTCCCGGTCGACACGTTGTACTGGCGTGCAATGTCGTTGCAAGTATGCATGCTGTTGTTGGACGTAGTGCCCATGACATTGATGAATATCTAATCTGCCGCGCATAATAATTCAGTTTCTTCTGGTACCGGCTCGAATAATTCTCCCGATCCTTGCACGAACGATGGCGTTGGGGTCAAGGCGACCATGTAGTTTGGTAATGATCTCGTCGCTATGTTGACTGCAATGGTGGTCTGGCAGATATTCTGGATGTCCTGAAATTCCTGAACAAGGTAGTCGGAGTGGTCTTCGTCGGACAGAAACTCTGATGAGATGCGAGCATGCATCAGCTTCAAGAAGCATTCTGAGCATAGGAGGTCATCGTTGTAGATGTTGGCCATGCGACTGTTTTCGGCAAATACATTGGCCGGGCTGATGCACCATGGGTCAGAAGGGTCTGTATTGCAGTCTGGTCGGATGACATCGGGGCCAATCCATTCTCGAGACTCAACAAAGCACCACTCGTTGGAGGAGGACTTCAGACATGCAATGGCAAGACCAGCAACAAATCAGGTTGCAAGCGTTTTCGCGTCAACCACACGATCTCCTGAACTGAGGAGCTTGCCATCACAGGACTCACCAACTTCTTCTGTTCATTTATGACTGGATTCTATACACCTCGTGGTACAGAGATTAGATGTGTTACTTGAACTCCAATAGATGTTATCCACGTTGGATGTCCATTGAAACAGGTTCGGTTCACAATCCAACGTTTTATTTCCATCTCATACTTAGCGTTTAATCGTGGAAGAATTGAGACATATTTGATACAGACTAAGATAGCTTACAAGGCATTAGTACATGTTGTAGAGATTTTGAGAACGCCGGAGAGCCCCTGAGGATCTACCAATGGCTGTAATGTGAATGCAGAAGCGTACTGTACCGGGCCAAAGGAGAGTAGAACGAGAGAGTTTTGAAAGAAGCCATGACTATGAATCTGCTTTCATGAAGAGTAACACTGCTGTAGAAAGCATCAGGCAGTCGAAGAGTCAAATGGAAGAATGGAAGAATCTCAATGTATTAGGACTTGGAGGCAAAGACTTTGATATCACGCGTTCTCTTCCTACATCAACTCCAGAATTCGCAATTTCACATGGCATTCACCAAAACTCTCTACGCGCCACAGCTGAGCGGCTTACATGCATTGCTTATCCCGGTTCTATCACAATTACCGTTTGCCATATCGCGTAGGAGAAGAGTGTCTCGGCATCTGTCCAGCCTTCACCATTCCAGGTTTGCCCAGCTACTAGATTTTCCCTCCAACAGATATCTTCCTTCCAACTCAATGATATAAAAATTCCTTAGATTGCCATGCGGTATACTGGTGGCCTCGCCAAGATGTTACCAAAGTGTGTTAGCGTCTACGAGCGCAAGGATGCGGGTTTCGGTGGGGGCCAACTAATTTCAACAGGGTTGCGAGATACTACCTTAAGAAGGACTCACAGCTCGGAATAAGCGGCAACAACACGGGCCGTCCGCTGCTTTACTCTTTTGGGTTAACAATCGTATCTTGCCCGCCCGCACGGCTGTGGCTTAGTCTACGGTTCCTGCAGTCAGCGGCACGTGGACTACCGAAGGATGTAACCACTACCGGTCCTCTAAAACGTCCTTCGTGTAGCAAATATGGCACAAGTGGTAATATGATTAAACTCCATATCTCTATATAAACTCTAATAAGATTTACCTGCTATAGTCAACAAGCGTTCCATTGGCTACTATGAAACTTGGGCCAGCACAAGACCTTGCAGTGCAGTGGCGCTAGAGCAGCTCAACCTCCAGGGCCTAACACACATCAACTTCGCGTCCATGTTCTTTGAGCCGGACACTTTTGAACTCACACACATGGATAGGAATGCTGGTTCGTTGATTAGCCGCTTCACGAAACTCAAAGAGAGGAAGCCTGGACTGGAGACTTGGGTTAGTGTTGGTAGATGGTCTTTCAACGATCCTGAGTAATATTAATTGTGATTCATTGGCTTCATAGTGATTAGTATTTCTTACTATAGCCGGAAAGTATCAGCAGGCTTTTAGCATCATATCGAATACTGCTGCCAACCGTAGAAAGTTTATTAACAACTTGATCAAGTTCATGCAGACCTACGGGTTCGATGGTACGTTGGAAATGATCTGAGGGAATACAAGTCAGGATCCAAGACACATTAGCTCACCTTTGACAGGTATGGATATGGACTGGGAATACCCAATCGCAGATGACCGTGGCGGTAAGCCCGAAGACAAAGCAAACTTTGTTCTTCTCTCCAGGGACATATACAACGCCTTTGAAAAGGAGGGATATGGTTACTCCCTCACACTGCCCGCATCATACTGGTATCTCCAGCATTTCGATCTTACAAAACTGCAGCCGTACGGCCACTGGTTCAATCTTATGTCGTCCTTTCTCAGGGATATGAGTACATATGTTGCAATAACATTTACATCGATGCCGTAAGCTAACTCTAATTAGTGTACGGTCGCTCCTTCACTCTTACTGATCCAAAATGCAACGAACCCAACGGCGTGTGCCGGTTCTCAGGCGGTACCAAAGCCAGCCGCTGTTCGCGAGTATCTGGTATCCTGAATCTCCAAGAGATCTTTGACATTATCAACGACAAGAAACTCAAGCTGACACACGACAAAAAGGCTGGAGTTAAGTAGATCCACTGGGATGATGACTAGTGGGTTTCCTACGACGATGATAAGACACTGATGCAGAAGCGTGAGTTTAGAGTGTCTCGCTGCCTTGGGGGCATGATGATTTGGGCTCTTCATCAGATAGATCAGGATACTCCAATTGGAGGCAGTTTATCGCCAGAAGAAATGGAGGAAACAGAAGCCATATATCAAGATGCAGCTGCAAAGGGCGTCTGTTACACAAGCATGTACGATGATAAATGCCGCAACGGCGACTACGAAGCTGCGCAAATGAGGGAGCAACCTGGCTTTTTGTCTACCATGTCTCGTTGTTCCAAACATCAGGTTCGTTGTTTTTGCTGCTCCAAAGGTGCCACTATGGGAACCTGCAAATGGCGAGGCTTCCGTGGCTTGGGACTTTCTTGCACAGGTGGTTGTCACGGCGATGAAACTGAGGTTACTATAAACACTAACTACGTCGAAAAGAACGAAGATCAAACATGTATAGGAGGCACAAAGAGCTACTGCTGCTCTGGCTTTAAGCCTCCTATTTCAAGAGAACAAGTTAGCGAAAAGATCAAGGATGAAGCAGCCGACCTTGCTCTTGCGGCTGCCGAAACTCTTGCAATGGGAATAGCAGCAAAGGCCTTTTGTCGTGTTGCAATCATGGCTGAGACGCTACCTCTACGTATCATTCCGTTTGTAGGCTGAATAGCCTCCATCGCCCTCCAGGTTGCAATGCCGGCACTGGTCAATGTCTGCGCCAAAGGAGTCGTCAAAGCCGGCAAATCAGTCTTCAAATTCAAGGGAAAAGACTATGAGGTCAAAGTCGACAAGCCTCTTACGAGCAATGTCGACCAGCCAGCGTCCAGTTCACCTGCCAAAGCTTCTTATAGGCCAAAAACTTGCAGGACGAAGAGAGTGGTAGCTAGGGACTTGAAACCTCGCAAGGACTGGATGACACCCGCATATGATCCGCCCGTTGAAAGAATTATACACAGAACATGCGATGGCGAGGGAACAAAGCAGGCCTACTACAATTACAGCTCCATCATCAGCCGGCGACCTGATCTTGCGAGTCTGACCTGCCCATCTTACAAGTACCCTCGCCCAGCACGACCCCAAGTCGACAAATACAACCAACAGCACCACACCGACTGGAATAGCGGCTGGCTCCGCTCCTCAAACCTCGAATGTCAACGCGATGAATACCCCGGCGCGGCGATCTGGCAAGCCCGCGACAGCAGTGTCTGGATCCGCCTCATCCCCCGCACTGAAAACGCCAAAGCATCTTATCTCTTCGTCGGATGCCCCGATCAAGAAGAAGAACAGTTAGTCACAGAAATATCGATCACCACGACCGACGTAGGCTGCAGCACCCGCGACGTCTGGCAAAAAACCTATCGTAAAATCCAAGTAGTGATAAACATCGGCTTCACCAACATGGGCAACATGCCCCCTGATTTCGGCATGACAGCCAACTTATGCTAGCCCGAGACGCTAGTAGACGGCCCAGGCTTCGCCCTTTTAACAAACGACCCTTGGTACACCGGCGGCAGCAATAGAGACCAGTTTATGCGGCACTACGCTCAGGTGCCGTCGGCGCAGTTTATAAATGGGAGGGTCAATCGGCCCACGTGGGGCTGGACGAGACCGAATGGAAACAACGGCGGTGGTAGAAATAATACTCCAGACCCCGACTCAGACTCCGACGACGACATGCCCGATGCACCAAGCGACGACGAAGACAACGACCCCACGTTCCCTGGTGGCCGCAGCGCGTTAGATGAACTCAACGAGTTCAAGCGGTCGCCGAATGAGCTTGTTGTTCACGAGGGGAATTCGACGAGGGGAATTCGACGAGGAAACCGACGGAGGAGGTGTTGTTTGGGGAGTTGGGGCTGTTGAAGTGTGAGGAGAGATATTGTTATAGGGAAATGGAGGAACTGGGGTTTGCGTCGTTGCCGGTTGTGCAGGAGATGCAGAAGGCGCCGGTGGCGGTGCATGCGGAGGCGACACCGACGGATGGTAGTGCGGTGATTGAGGCGAAGGCGACGCCAGTGAGGATGCAGGAGGCGGATGTGTCGGTTATTACGCCTGCGCCTAGGCATCCGCATTATCGGTATGAGTAGGTAGGGTGAATTGTATATATATATCTAGAGATTCTATTTGTATATCTCTTATGTATCTCGGATCTTTAGACATTTCGTAGTTGATCATCGAGCATGTGATGTGATATTTGAGTGTTTCCTAGCCAACTTGTTCTCTACAAAGATATTTGTTTAACATATGACGTCGTTTATCATTCCCAACACCACCCTGTCTGCTCGCAGAATCTGGCCCCCAAGTATCCTCCATGGAAAATGAAACTTCAAAGCCAATAAACCGAGGTCCCAAGAAATTTCTCTACTAAGCGACATGCATACAAATAACCTCAATCCCCCTTCTCCTTCTCCTTCCCCAACATCTAATCTCCATCCCCCCCCCCAAACCCCAACCACCACTATGTCCGACCTAGACCCCTCACCACAACAACCCCCACCCCCAGACCCAGGCTACAACCGTACCACACTAATCACAAGCCTAACAACCTACTACTCCCTCCTCTCCAAAACCGTCTCCATCCACCCCTCCCATATCCACCCCGCCCCACCCACCGGCCACGCCCCCTCTTCCCTCCCCCTCTTTCACCTCCAGTGCCTAGGCTTCAATGATCGCATGCTCGACCTAATCCTTCACCTCCCCATCATCTCCTCCACTACCCGCCCCGTATACCCAGGAACCACCCCTATCGCCTACACCAACAGTCTCTTCGACGACTACAGCGAGGAAGACTTTGATGTGAACGACGTGCATGCAGTGGGACTTTGGCCGTTGCCCGACGAGAGGATTCCGGAGGGTGTGGTGCCGATTTCACGGCCGTTGCAGGGGGATCCCGGGGGTGTGTGGTGGATGATTGATACGAACAACGGTATGTTTTCTCATTTCCTTTCGAGCTTCACGGTGAGGTAGCTGGGTGTTAGTTCTTTGGGCGAGAAGCTGATGTGCAGGGTGGGTGGGGATTTTAGGTGAGATTACGCCGCATACAGCGTCTATCACGCGACCCGTCGCCGAAGTACCGGAAGATGAACAGTGGCGGACTGCGCGGCCTGTGCCAGCGACTGCTTATTTCGATGGGTTAGCGAGGGATTTGATTGAGCTGGAGTTGCTGCCTGTGCCGTTTAATCCTGGGTTGCTGGTTTGGGAGATTTGGCATTCAAAGGGGCATAAGGAGTTCCAGGTTTTTGCCGATGTGAGTCTACTCTATTTATGTTGTTGGAGCTGGGGGTGGTTGAAAAAGGTTGCGGTTTTCGTTCTAACGGGAGGGAATACAGGAAGCGAAAGCGATATATCAGCAGTGCGGGTGGCCGGATTTGGAAAAGTTCAAGCGTGCGAGGTGTAAGAGGTTGTTGGAGGAGTTGCAGAAGAGGGTTAGGGCGTGGGAGAAGGTGAGGTGGGCGGCGATGCCGGAGCCACCTGCGTATACAGATGCACAGGGGAATCCGGTTGAGCCGCATTGATGGAGTGAGTGGTCTCTCCAGATATAAGTCCTACAATAGACTTGATTGATGTGTATATATGAGGAACAGTCTACACTATAAAACCAGACACAGTTGTACTTTAAAGAATTCGTTACTTCATCTACGCATGGAATATAGCAGCTATGTTACAGCTCCCATGTACATACCATCGAGTGCTACACTAAGCACAGTACGTCGTCGTACTTCGCCCAATCCCTTCACAACCCGCTCTCTCAACCCCTCAAATAACCGCCTCATCTACATTCCTAATCCAGCCCACCATCCACTTCACCGTATCCACATGCGCCGCAACCCCCACCCTCTCATCAACCGTATGAATATTCCCCAAGCCAACTTGCTCCCTATCCCATCCCGGTCCATAGCGGAAAATATGCTCGCTCAAATCCCAGTAGAATCTCGTATCCGTATTCCCCGTCATAAGACCCGGACTAACAATCAGATCACGACCATACAGTGCGCGCGTGGTGCCTGCAAGGAGGGCGAACGGAGTGGTAGTAGTCGAGACCGAAGCGTTGGAAGAAGAAGAGGAATGAGTAAGCGACGTCGGAGTTATGGGTGCGGGTTCCAAGATGGTGGGACCGTGGGAAAGAGAGATGCTGGAGGGTGTTTCTTCGCCGGTGAACGCGTGGAGTGTAAGATTGTACTTTTGAGCTAGTTGAGCGGCCAAGGAGGAAATGTGGGATTTGACTTCAGAAGAGGTGGAGCCGACGTTGATGCGGTGATTCACTGTGAATTGGGTGCGCTCGGGTAGTGCGTTGGTTTTGACGCCGCCGTGGATGATGTCGACAGCGACGGAGGTGGTAAAGAGGTATTTTATGCCCGGTCCTGCTTTGGCGGCTTCGAGGGCGAGGTCGTCTTTCTTACCGCAGGTTGCGCGGCGTCGGGAGCGCTTGTCCAGGAGCTTTCCCAGCTGTTTTGGGAACTCGGGTGCGTACTTTTCGCCACATTGAAGAAGGCCTAGGTATGGGTTTTCGTCCGCGAGGTGCGGTTCATAACGGTTCGCTTCAATCAGTGTAATGAGCTCACTGGCCACTCCAATCCCGTTGTGCGGTGGCGGAATGCTACTATGGCCACCAGGCATACGAACAACGATATCAACATCGACATAGCCCTTTTCTGCGACACCTGGAATGGCGAAGTTGGCGCCCCAGCTTTCGATATTCACCGCGCCCTCATCGATGATAGCAGCAATGGAATTGTGTCCCAGTTTCTTCAACAGGTAGGCTGAGAGATGCTTTGCCCCTTCTACGCCAGAGATTTCCTCGTCAAAGCCAAAAGACAAGATGAGTGTTCGTTGAGGCGTAAAGTCGGCAGCAATGAGCGCCTCAACAGCATTCAGGATAGCCATGAGCTGGTTCTTGCAGTCACTTGCGCCTCTCCCCCATACAAACTTTCCATCATAATGCCCCGAGAAAGGCGGGTGCGTCCATTGCTCGAGCGTTGAATCTGGGACAGGCACGACATCTTGGTGCGCCATGAGCAAGTTGGGCTTCAAGCTGGGATTGGTGCCAGCCCATGTGTATAGCAAGCCATGCGTATTGACCTTTTCGAGTTGAAGCGTCGCATGCGCCAATGGATAGGTTTTACTGAGATAGTCTGCAAACGAGTAGAAAATATCCCATCGGGGGTCCGCGCCGATGTCGCCCATATCATCGTAGCTCTGGGTGGGGATCTTCACAGCGCCTGATAAGCGCTCGATAGCAACATTGCGAAAGTCGTCAGAGGTCAGATAGCTCTCCATATCGTCCAACTCTTTTGTCTTTCTTGCAGGAAAGAGAGGCTCGGCCTGTTGGCATTGCGATTCCGGTACAGATTTGCTCAGATTCGAGAAAAAATTACATGTTGATGTAGGTGTGGTGGTACAGTTTCTGAGTAATGCTAGAGCTGCTAAACAAAGCACTGCACCGGTAGCAAATTTGCGTCTGTGAAAAGTGGTATTTGGCGATGCATGAGGCACTGCCTGCTCTCCCAAATCCTTGCCAGCCATCTCGATAATTGGTGTTGGTAGGAGAGTTGGTGGCCAAACCAGACATTCGACGGGAATAAACAACGCAGATGTACTATACCAGATTAGGAAAGTCTTGGATACGACGAGGCGATCATGTCCGAAAAGGGCTTCAATCAACAGTGGATATTGATACTGTTCCATTACTTCATATCGTTATCAACCTCAATTTATAACCTGATGTAATAGATCTAGACTATAATTGCACACCCATTTCACCCCCGCCGACGGACAGATCTAGCATGGTCTGCATCGAGTACAGCGGACTCTTGTACGAGGCGTACACATAGCTCGTCTCAATGAATCACTTACTCATCAATGTCTTCAACCTCAGTTTCGTCTTCTTGATCATGAACCATGCCATGTAACCCCTCGCTTTCGGCTCCTATCAGTGGAGCACGTTCGCCCTCTTTGCGCGCAAAATGGCCTCCGATACTGACCGCAAGCGTACTGAAGCCGTGTACTATTGTGCTACAGAGCACAACAAAGCAGACAATTGGCCAGATCAAGGCGATAGTTCTCTGCCTCTCTACCGGGAGGTCATTTGGTGGGTTTGGCAAAGGTAAAGAAGTGCCAGTCTCAAGCTGTGCACGTGCCTCGATGGCGAGGAAGAGTGCCCCAACACCCATAGGTCCAAAGTGTCCAACAAAGAGGGCCTCAGTCGTCGTCTTGACAAAAGGCAGAAGGTTTGCTTGGAAGAGAATAAAGACGATTGGAATGCGGCGGAAGAGAAGGATGAGAATGAGGAAGCCAATAAGCCGAGCGGGTGTGATGGCGTCGAAGGCGCTGAAACTCTCCCAAGGTATCATTGCACCAAAGAAGACAAAGAATGACGAGTTGATCATCATGTCGATAATGACAGGGAGAGCGGTATCAGCCATGGGCGATTTTTGCCTGTGAGAGAATCCACGGCCTGCAAAAAAGGCCACGAGGAAGTCGTCCACTCCAAGGATCGATGCCAATCCAATTGAAAATACAGCAGCAAGAAGATAGAACGTGAGGTACGAAGCCTCGCCCATCCACTCGCGTGCATGCGAGAGGCGGTAGAGTCGGTTGAAGATGTGTCCGAGCACAATACCTATAATGATACCCACTGCGCACTGGTACAGTATGGTGACGAGGAACCATTTCTTCAAGACACCACCAGCTGTGTTCTCAAGGAGTAGGCTGAGGCCAATGTACAAGAAAGGAAACGAGACGCCATCATTGCAACCGCTTTCTGCACTCAGAAGATCTCTGATACGTCTCGGTACTCGTGTACTGAACTGGCTGTTGGAGAGCACAGAGGCTGCGAGGACGGGGTCGGTGGGTGTGAGGCACGCAGCAATTGTCATGGCCGTCACAAAGTCTGTCTCAAATATAATTGTAACAAACAGGGCGCAGATGAGCCAGCCGAAAGTCATGACTGGTCCCAACAGGGCTAGCAATGCATACTTCTTTTTGGAGAGATAACCCTTCTCGAGCTCTAGGCCGACAGCAAAACATTGGATACCGACAATCAGGCGGGTGGTTTCTTGAATCGTGTCATCCTGTTGATAGTTAGTATTAATGACTTGCTTAACAGGATGCTGCTTCGCGTACTGAAAAGCCCCAGTCATAAGGCTTCAATAGGCCGAGGGCACGTGGTCCGACAATCTGTATTGGTTGCAGTCAGGAAATGCTCGTGTATGGCTTGCGCTTGTGCAACACTCACAATACCGAAAAGTGTGGCTAGTGGTGGCTCCGAAAGGTGGAGCCGATTGCGTATCATCAGCGAGAAGAGAGCATAGAGTATTAGAAAGAAGGTGAGCACTAGGTATGTGACATGCGGGCCCGTCGGCTCGAGCTGAGACCAAGCCATGATGAAAATACTAGTCGAGACGGCGAGGATAGTCGATTCGAGGTTGCGCGAGGTAAAGACTCTGCGAGGCTGCAAGCTCGAAGCTTGGATAACGCGCTCTGTGCTGGTGACGTCAGACGACCGATACAATGGCTAAAAGAGACTGGTGCGCTGTCTGGAAACGGCTTTCTGTGCAGAGAGACAACCTTGACCTGGGGATTGTGTCAGCATGGAAGGGTGCGTCTGTATTTAATACAGACATGTTAGACTCAAAATCAAACAATGATGCGTAATGGATGATGGGCAGTTGACCGAATGGTAGCTGAAAAGGTGCGCTCGGACTGCGCTATGCATATTTAGACGTCGCATACTGCAGGTCCAACGGCACGGTGTCGAACATGGCGGTGCTGAAATATTGGCCAAGTTGGTTGGGGCATTGCAAACACGACGAGGCATCCAGGGGGAGAGGTCAAGGTAGAATGCGATGTACGGCTGAACCAGCCACAACCTTGGCGGAGAACCGCGAAGGATGAATTCCGCTACTTTTGTATGAATAAAGCGCCTTTTCCCCTACAGTGCCCAAACGCCGCCTGCCCGCGCGGTAGTACTACTCAATTTGTCCATGGCCTAATGCGGGTAGTATTAAAAATACAGTCAAAATTACAACCTATGCAACCGATGCAACCTATGCAGATATGAAAAGAAAGGGGTCGACTAGGCGTCGTCGGGAGGGTTGTTGAAGAAAGCGAATCGTATCCTGTGGAGCTGTTGACGAGTTAGTGGACTATTGTTTGCGTGTGTAGTGGGCAAACATACCGAAGGCAGCTTGGGGATAACTACTGCTATGGTGGCAAAGCAGTTGATAAGGAAATATGTCAAGCCGTAATTGGTATAGTGGGTGCTGACAAGGAACAACACAATGGGGACACTGAGAAGGAACTTCTTGGCCGGGGTATACTGGTCACCGTTGTCGATCTGCTCCCACATGTTGAGGTTGTCATAGGCACCCGAGTTGAAGTCAAAGGGGACACCGCGGACATAGTGGAACATGAGGTAGGAGCCGGCCACGTACGAGAGATTGACGAGGGTCCAGGATGCTTCCTGGGACATGCCTGGGATGATATCAAACAAGATCTTGCCGAAGAAGATGAGGACAAAGTGGATAGCCCATGCACCTGCGAGAGTCAGCCAAGAGGTCGCATTGTGCATGGCTGTGATGGCTCACCCTTTGCATTGACCCATTCGACGTTGAGATTGGGCAGTGCCGACTGGTCGCTCAGCTGCTCAAGCGACTCCGGGGGTTCCTTGTAGACAAGACTACTGCTACGTCGGCGGCGCGCATCCTTTGAGTTTGAGGGTTGCAGCGACATGTTGGAGTAGGCAGACGTCGAGGGCGATTGGCGGGGCCGGGGATCGCCAGCGAACTTGAGACGAGATGTGGGGTTGAGGAGTATGGACGACAGTTTGGCGGTATTGATGTATGTATGAAGTAGTAGCGGTAGCGGTAGCGGGCGGGCGGGCGAGGGGGGTGAAGGGGTGGTGGATAATGGATGGTAAAGCGGATCAGAGGCCCGGTGCCTCAGTGAAGATATAAGGGTCGACTTGACAACAGGACTAGAAGAAGGAGAAGGGGGAATAGGAGTAGTGACAGCAGTAGCAGTACAAGCACCCGCACCAGTAGCAGTCGGGATAGCGGTTGTTGTAGTTGTGGTCGCAGTTGTAGTGACCTGGCGGAAATGGTCCAGAAGGAGCAAAGCGGCAGGTGGGACGTTCAGGGTCTTCTGGCAATGCAACACCCTCCCGGTCTTTGTCCGAGCTTGCAGGGCGAGGCTGATCAGACGCAGGGAGAGCAGGTGGCGAGATGGAGAGAGGAGTGGTGATGGAGGGCAATGGCGGCAGCGAGGGTGAATGATGCTTTTCCGTGACCAGCAGTAGCAGTAGCAGTAGCAGTGGCAGTAGTAAAGGAGGAGCCAGATCCACCTGATGCTCCCAGAGGCCGTGTGTTGCTCACAACCACCGAGGCCGTGCACCGCGCGCAACCATGGCCCTCTAGAACACACGCGCCCTCGTCGCCCACCAGCCCTCGCCCAGCACCGTCCATCTCCTGCCTCTCCTTCACCTCCCGCCATCTCCAACCCGCCGCCCACCATGGCTTCCCATCCACCCGCTGCGGCCAGCGACGCCAATGACACCACTGCCACTGCTACCGCTGCTACCACGACCACCACCGCCACCAATTCCGTGCAGGAGCAACATCAAACCGACGCCGCCGATGCTACACACAGGCCCGTCAAGCGATCGTGGAGGTAAAGGACGCGCCATCACATATCGAGGACCCATTAGCTAACCATCCTCTCAAAGACGCAAGTATCGCAAGATGCGCATCAAGTTCGACGAGGCTATGACGGAGAGCGACAACCTCATCAAACACGAGTGGAAGGCCATGGGTACGGCGCGCCGCCTCCAAGAAAACAACGACCAGTTGCTGGATATCCTCCTCGAGCTCAACGACCAGACGCGCGTCAATTCCCGCCTGCGCTTTGACCTGCGCAGCCTGTCCCCCGCAGACACCGCCGTGCCTTCACTCGAATCGGGCCCCGGTCCTCAAGTCATCAAGCAGCAGCTGCAGGCCCTGAGAGATGACCTCGCCCGCGGAATCATCACGCCCGAGCAGTATGCCACGCGCGCCGATCAACTGCACTCGTCGCAGTCGATACACCACACGCTCAAGTCGCTCGCCAGCCTCGAGCATAAAGTCCCTCACACCACACGCCAGGACTTTGCCGAACACCCAGTCCCCGGCATCGACCTCAGCGAGCATGCTCCCGGCTACATGTCGCCCACCCACGAAGACGAGTACCTGCTGGCTACGGATCAACTTCTCGAGCAGCCCGGCTTCGACCAGTCCCTGCAGCACGGCCGGCCCATCCGCCTCGCCTCAGCCCAGCCGCCTCTCAGCGAAAAGGATCTTACTGTTCGCAATCCCGACAGCGTCTACAACTGGCTGCGCAAGCACCAACCCCAGGTCTTCCTGCAGGACAAGGACGGCGCACACCACGAGAATCTCTCAGAGAAATCGGCAGCCCCAAAGGCAACAAAGGCGAGCGCAAAGGCCAAACGAGAGTCCGCCATAGGTACCCCAGGCCCACGCGACCACCACGATGACGAAGACTCAGCCGCGCCAGAGACTGCAAAGGGGCGGCGGAAGACTGGCGGCGGAGACGACGACACTGCATACCGGCCCAAGGGCGGGAGCAGTCGACCCACCAAACGCAAGCGCGAAGAAGGCGACACGCCGGCGCCTAAGGGCAGGAAGAAGACGCGCCCAAGCACTGGACCAGTTAGCTGAGCCAGCTATTAACGCTATATATTGGAAATTGAGCGTTACTACTCTGCGCCAAGTTGAATCGACCACCGGCTGTTTCCAGTAAAGCGAGCCATTGCACTACCTTGTCTCGAGGACAGTAACCACATATCCTTTTTTTTTCTTTCCAAAATCCGTGTACAAGTACAGAGCCATTGGGGAACAACGGGATGGGGGCGTTATTGGCGTTTTTTTCTGAGTCTTCCACTCGAGGTGTTGCAGGGTTTAGATATACCCATTGGTTTCTTCGTTTCTTCTTTTTTTTCTGTTCCCGTTTTTTGCTCGTTGCTTATGCAAGAGAGAGATCACCCTGTACCACATTTCCGGTCCATACGAGCTTTTTCCATCTTCTTCTCTATCATTGAGAGGAAGTTCCAAATACATGGTCCAAACATACCTTTGTAATCATGACCATTCTCTGTCCGTCCACTGGATTGGGTCGAAAATACACGAATCTAAGTCGCATTTTGCTATCACGATTGCCTCTAGGCGTCATCGTGTGTACACAAGTGCGCCACAGCGCCTCGTACGTAGTGTGTGAAATAAGGAGGAGGGAAATAATACACGTGAGAATGAATAAGTTTTGTCAATTGCAATCGTTTTTGCCCTTACAAGATGTAGTACATGGTAGTATTGTGTATACTGCTTCCCCGAGTCCATCATCTTCACATTGAACTACCTCACCTGCTTCCTCGCCACCCCGACCATCACGGGTTCCGCGACTCCCTCCGTAAACGGCAAACTCGTATCGACAATCCTCTTTCCATCCACCAGCTCCCCATTGCCCGCACGCTGATCCTCCAAATACGCAACTTGGCGTCTCTTCTCCTCGAGATACTTTTTCCGCTCCTCCGTCAGAATCCATTCCTTGGGGAATTCATGCCTCTTCTTAGGCGTGTGATGGCGAAAGTCAAATGGCACATCGTCGAACATGTCCTTGGAGTCTTTCGCTTCAGCGATCAAGGAAGAGATGGTTTCACCGAGGAAACGCTTGTTTTGCGGCTGCGTGTCGAACTTTTCGCAGGAGAGCTTGATGATGTTTGTGGAGGGGTTATAGCGGGGGCCGGCTAGCTTGATGAGCTTGGAGATTTGCGGGGCGGTTAGAGAGTGCGATTGGGTGAGGTCTGAGGGGGAGAATTCGACGACGACTTTGTTGGCAGCGGGATGTGATTCGCCGAGGTAAGAAGTGTAGCGGAAGCGGAAGGGGGTTGCTGAGGCTGGTGGGGTGAAGGGTTGGGCGAGATCTGGGTGTGTTTGATTAGTATGAAGTGTGGGTTTAGGAGTAGAAGTGACGTACGACTTAGAAGTGGGAGCTCCCAAGCTATTAACCGAGCGTACTCCCTCAGTTCCCTGTGCTGCTGCAATTCGCCGTGGCCGTGGCTCGTCAGGTCATCGCCGTAGTAATCCTCGTCCGGACCCATGCTTTCTTCTCCTTCGGCCCAGAATCCCATTGACGCTTTCCTCTTGTCATCCTCTTCAATGTCAAAGTCCTCATCTGTTTCCAAGCCAAAGTCTTGCGTCTGAGGTAGTCCACGTTTTCCTTTGCGAAGAGCGTCGGCGACAACGCTTGGATCGATTTCTGCGAGTGAAGCCCGGAGATTGTCTAACATGGCTGTGTCACGCTCGGCCTGGGACATTTCCTTGAAATCTTTCGTGGAAGTAGTATTCGAAAAGTTCAATTCCGGGCTGAGTTCATTAAGAGTTTCCGTCGGCGGCTTTGCGTTTGCCGAAGTGGCAGAGCCCTCTTTAGTGGGCTCATTGGCATATCGTCGAGGTGTTGTGGACAGCGGGCGCTGCCATTGTGTGGTCGTGTGCTTTGGTGCTGCTCGAGGTCGTATCCGCGATGGGCATTGCCTTGACTGCAAAAGCAGCCTTCGTGTTGTCGACGCCATTGGGTGCGGGTCGGTGGTAATGCCGTCGTCGACTTTTCGCGATGCGGGATTGCTTGGCAGTAGTGGAAGTAAAGTGCCACCGCGCGCCGGACCAATTGAAGCGAAGACAGCCCGACCTCCGCTTTCATGGTTACTGTGCCCCCGCATGTTTTAATCATTGACTCTAACGCATCGGTGGTCTGTATTTTGGATAATACTTGGACCAGAGAAGCCTGATACCAGTAATCTAAAGCTACATAATCGTCACCATGGCCGACAGCTGGAAATGGACACCTGACTCGAAACTCTGCTTCGTCACTACTGGAGCCACTGCTCCCTTCACTGCTCTGATTGAATCTGTACTAAGTCCCTCAACCTTGGATGCTTTACGACAAGGTGGATTCACACATTTACTGGTTCAATATGGATCAGCTAAGGAAATTTATACAAAATGCTCCAACGATGCTCGCGCCCACTTGCAAAGCAGCCAAGAACAGCGAGACTTGATCGTAGATGGCATCGATTTCAGCCCAGACGGACTCCAAACACAGCTTCAGCTTGTTCAGAGGTCCAAAGGCTTGGTCATATCACATGCTGGTACTGAGTGCATATGTCAAGTAGACACAGTCATAGACTAATTCTCCTAGGCTCTGGTTCAATTCTCGAAGCCCTCCGGTATCAAATCCCACTTATAGTCGTACCCAACACTGGTCTACTTGATAACCACCAAGAAGAGCTCGCTGTCGCCATGGACCGAAACAATTACCTCATTCGCGGCGACGTCACGTACGCTGAGCTTTCTTAAAGACGACGTTTAAGCTAACAAGGCCATAGAAATCTTGCGCCAGCGATCAAGCGATCTGATGAGTTTCGAGCCAAAATGTCTCAGTTCCCTCCAATTACTAGTGGGAAGCATCGTGAGACTAAGAGCTTTGCCGCCATAATGGATGAGACAACTGGGTTCATGGATTGATGGTGCTGATTCTAAAATGCATATTCTCGGTGTTTTTTTTTCTTATTAACCTGCGCAGTACTACTTAGGAGGGTGCACTATATCAGATTCTTGACGACGCTGGGCAATGACTCCCATGTTGTAGTCAATGCATCGAATCAAGACTTGTTGTATAAGGCAGGGTCGAACGCATCGCAGTAAAGAAGAAAAAAGAAAACGATGAATAAAATTAGAAGAGGATATTGAAAGTGAGCCCATTTCATAGTTGCGGCAAGAGTAGCAAGAGATTACAGGTTTGCTAAGGGAGATTACCAGTGTGGGAGATCATTGCAGCAGTGTTATGCAGTTTGCGCCTCGTATGCAATAGTCTCTTTACGCGCCTCAACGACTCCACACACAACACGAGACTGAAGGATTGCGGTGGAGTAAGATCTTGTCGCATCAGCACCAGAAGATGCGACGACAGATTCAAAGAGGATTAAGTTTGGAAAAACAGAAAAATACGACAAGTAATGTTCGAACCCACGATATTAAGTTCAAGAGAAAGCATACCATAAATGATCATCTGCACGCGGACATGGGATGTGCGAACTCGGCACTATTAGTATTGCGACATTGTCAGCATGCGCATACAGATGGTTGTGAGAGTAAAGTAGCCTTTTCACTTTGCTTCCGTCCGAAGAAACGAACAACAGGAAATCACACCGTCGCTTTTCGAAAACCATAAGACGCCCTTCACAGTCTGCTAAGTCACGAGACCTTACGCCAAAGGAACCACATCCTACCTCGGTGCTCTTACCAACCTAGGTAAACAAAAATAGTAGTCTCAAAGTACCCATTTGTCACGTGTCACACCGGAATTCTTGCATGAGCTCGATCACAGTGGGCATCGTGGACCTGGGCTGTGGGGCGACTCCAACATCCTTCATCACATGCTGCAGTCGCAGCAAAAAAACTCTGAGCAAAAGTATGTGGACCCCAACACGCAAGATGCCGTTCTCACTATCCAAATTCGTCATTCCGTTCATGAACTCAAACACTAAATGACGAAAAATATTCAAACAAACTCCACCGCAAGGCATCGCTGCAGAATTCTGCATCGCAAAACCCACAGCGGGTTGAACTTTCTGTTTGCACCTACCCAACTCCACATAAGAAACTCCGCGCATGGAATATCCCTCCATGGAGTAACACGCGGATTGCACAATCACGTCTCCAACTCGCCCCCGAACGGCCACTATAGTATGCCCGTTCACGTTGACTCGCAACCCCGAACCTCGGCTACGACTCATGCCCTTGCCCACGACTCTCTCTCCTTCCCTCCCATCCCTCGCTAAACAAGCCTCACCCAACAAACCCTGTCCTCTAAACCATCGTTTCGCAAACCTCGCAAACAACTCTGTAACAAGACAAGAAGAAGAAGAACAGCACCACGTGATAACCTACCTCTGCCCCGACTCCCCCATAAACTGCCGATCTTATTTTCCCCCCGGCTTGGCCTCCTCCCCCCTTCACCCCCCCCAAAATAGTGAGAAACTTCGAAACAAAACAATACAAACTCCTTGCCCATATAATGTAGTGATAATAATCGCATCACCTGTTTTTCCTGTTTCAACATCACGACAAAAGATAACGTGGCAGGTTTTGCGTCGTGTGCAAGTTGCTAAAAGCCGTATGTGACGGATTCGGCCGTAATCATGGGCCGCTCTTTCTTGAGCGAACAACTCGCGCACACTCGCGATCACGCAGGCGCATGCGCAGGCGGTTGCGGTGCGTTGTTACCGACATGTAGTATTGTGGCTTTTTTTTTGTTGGTTTACGCGACCCGCCCCACGTCGCTGAACGGTTTCGAGGACCGTTCGTGTTCGGGGAAGGGGAAGGGGGGAACGCGTGGGTTGGGTTCCGTTACCCCCCGGGTTGTGCGTGTGTAGGTTCGGGATAGTTGCTTGTGGGGCGGGGAGGTTGGGTAGGTACTTACAAGCCATGTACGTAGGTATGTAGTAGGTGGGTGGTTTTTTTGTGCCGTTGGGGTGCCGTGTCGCGGAAAGTGAGGAGAGGATGGGAAAAGGGGGCTGTGCGGGAGTAGGGGTGAGAGAAAGGGGACTTGGCATGTGATTAATGCGAATGTTCTGCGAGAGGGGAGGTTGAGGGTTTGGATAGGAGTTGCCAAGGTTAAAGATGCGGTTGTGGTGTGGGGGGATCGATTGTGACAGTCTATTCTTACACTGTCATGTATCATCGTGATCCCTCTTAACGTTATTTTTTGCTTTTTTGCACTTTGTAGCCTCTTGACTATGCTATTTATAATTTATCAACCCAAAATCTTGTTAGCGGGCTTGACAATGTAGGAAAATGTTGAGAATGCAAGATGATGTAGAGCAGATGCCCATAGTCTTTTGACTAACAAGATGGATCGCCGAGGACCGTACTTGGTCAAAATTTACGACCATATGTAATACGGTCTAGACCACGTAGCTACTTGGTTGCGCAATGCCATTTTTGATGTGCAAGATTATTGCCTTCCTGGAGAGACTACTGGAACCTAGTAGCAGTAAAGCAAATGTGACTTCGAAGACGTGCACAGTGAAACTGTTGATCAGTGTATACATAGGGTTTTCTGCCCTATATTTAACATGGTTAGAAGTATATCTGAAGCTGTTGTCAAGGAGTTTCGACAGACGTAGCACTAAATCTACCTCATATGTATCCCATAAGCCAAGTACGTAGTAATGCGCATACCTACAGATAGTTCCTCGCTGTGAACTTCCGCACCAGCGTTTTCCAAGACGATGCAAAGTGATATACCAAAACAATATGTCAAAGCTTATGCGAAAAGGAAGAAAAAAAGGTATCCAGCCATAAAGTTGACTGCACCTCAAGATACTATAGAGATATGCGACGTGATTCACTAGACACGAAAGTTACGCGGTAAATATAGAGACATATCGCTATGGATCTACCTATCAGTGCGCAGTTGTGTACCAGAGAAGCATAGTCTAGCAAAGATTTGCTATGTCGAAAAAAAGGAATAATGTCTTTACCAAACCCCTACCGTACAAACCCCCTCGCGTACGTACCCTATTATTAAATTAGACGTTACTCGTCCCGCACTCTTACATGCTCAGTCCCACGTCGCGCAACCCGCTAGCGGCGGCTATGCGCTCAAATAATTCACACAAACGTAGTGTACCTGTCGTATCTGTAGCTACTAGTATGAATCGTTTAAGAAATCGATGCTCATGATACTATTCTAATGTGCCGTGCAACAAGCGGAACCCCACAGCGCGAAGCGGCAAAAGTCGGATGTGTGCCTGGGCCTATTTTGTTGGTAATATCCTCATAATTATCGCATACGAATATGATCAAGAAAGGTGAGAAAGTAGTGCAACTTGCTGACTGAGATGTAAGTGGCTAGAACAACCCTTGGCTGTCATGGCCAAGTAGGTATGTGCAGTGTACACTTGTACTTACGTATGTAAGGCGTTCTAGAAAGAAAAGGGGGGGTGTTGCGCCGTGAGTACTACCGGTTACTTATTCAGGGTATATGGGCGAGTTAGGGTCATCATGTAGTTATGTAGGGCGTTCCTTGCTTGTCAGCGAGGGACGTTGGACAGAGAGAGACCATGTGTTAATGGCGCTGACTAGCTGCGTGGGCTGTGCCTAGCTGCGCGAAGCTGTGCGAAGCCCCGTTTCCTACGCAACGCCTTCATCCGCGTCGTCCGGACTTCAAAGTCGAAAAGCTGGGGCAGCGACATGTGCTGTGTCTGGCAATATCCCTGCTGCTTGTGTACTCAGACCGAACGCGTTACCTGCGGCCATGTATGGATGTGTGACGGGGCCCTGCGCCTACGAAGTGAGTAGTCAGAAAGGCGAGTTTGTATGGTTTAGCTTTCTGTCAAAGTGACACTAATTTTGAGAGTGAGTTTCTGAGATGCCCCTGGTCGTTTTGTACATATGTGCATTCGAGTGTTGCTCACCCAGGAGATGCGACTTTCTGATTAAAGACGTCGGAACGAGCATTCACCCTCCCGCCTTGGCGTCAGGTACCCGAGATGTGCTGACGAAAATCCGTGCCCCCCGAACCCTGCACAGAATGTGCGTCTCAACAAAGAGATTGTGTGCAGTCTGTATGGGCGTCGAGTGCTTTGGTAAGCGGAAAACACTCTATCGATGCCACGGCCTGTTGAACTGTACCCTAGCAGCCCGCTGACAGGAGAGAAGTTTGCGCAAGTGAAGCAAATTTCAGGGCACAGGCAGTGTTGACCAATAGATGGCCGAGTAAAGTTTGGCCCAGCTGTCTTGACGTGGAAATTCGATATTTGGAGCCAAACTTCACTATGCTTCTCTTTGGCCTGGCATGAAACAACAGGACACAAGTGCTCGTGACACGGCCCGACTAATATTGTTGGGCAACTATGGTGCAGCGCCGTGTGCAACGCCATTATCAGTTCCAAGGGCGAGGCTGGTGTGAGCCAGAAAAAACAATCGTGTTCGGTGACGACTAGGAGAAAAGGGACTTGTTCGCAAAAGCTTCGAAAAAAGTATGGCTAACGGCATGTTCCCAAAATGAAGCGTACTCCAAATCCCCGGAGGGTGCATGTGTCGTCATCGAATTTCCGACAGCTAGTCAGGCATACGACCTGGTATGTCCGGGTACGCGGTAGCGGACATGGCTTCCCTGTAGATTAGCGTAAGTAGCCGGTGCCGCGCTCGTTAAGACGAGCGAGTGTAGCAACGGTCCTCGCGACAAGTATCCCGAGATTCGCGTGCGCCTGCCGGACAGGTTGACGGCCAATCTGCGTACGTCTCAGGCCTAAGTTGGTTGCAGTTGAGGATTTGATGAGAGGTGCGACATGGCCATGGTCTTGGTAAGGGGCGCACAGCGAGGCTTGTCACTGCCAGCTGGTGCGTACAAGCCACTTGACTCTGCGCAAGCAAAAAACAACGACGAAATGCCGCAGCGTCGGGTGCAAGGAGATGCGTATTGGCTTTGGGCATGAACCGAGACGTAGTCTAGCCCGTGTGGGAAGCTGCCTTGCGCCGATCTACTATGGTTGGTGATCAGGCCGTACGCGGGTCATCACAACCAAGACGATGCCGGTAGATCAGTAGTACGACTTGGAAGATTTGGGCGGCTGGATTGCGCCAGCTTCATCCTACAACACGAAGTAATGGGGGCTGAGACACTGCGTCACCAGCGTCTGCGTATATACGTAAGTACGTATAGTTTGACAAAATTATTTTTGTTAGAGCGGAAAGGGGGGGGGGGGGTGATCTGCATCGGGGCTAGACCAGAGAATGGATGCACAGGGTGAAAATACTGTACAGGACTGTGGAGCGCTGCGTAATTCTCACGAAACGTGGACGCACAGACGACGTTCATCCAGGGCAAAAGTGAATGGAGAAAAAAGTCACAGGTGTTTTGATTGCCAGACGCAGAATTTGCTAATGGCCAGACAGAGTTTCGGACCGGTTTCCAATAACGGGCAGTTCATGGATCGACCCATTTGCTAGTAATCTCTAGCCCACAGCCGGGCTTCACCTTGTCGGCCTGTCCAACGGCATATCTGCACGCACTCGGGCAACTTGGCACGTGCCATGGATCGGGGATGGGGGAGCGTGGTCTGGAACGTGGCGGTTAATGATGCTCTCCACCCCTTCATTCCAAGGCATCCCGGCTGTCGTGTTTTGGGGTCCGTCGTTTGTAAGAGAGCAAGTTGTAGTGGTAACCAGGACGTGTGCATGTTACACATGTGGCAGGACAAGCGCTGCATGATGCACCGGGGCGGGCCATCATGTCGAGTCTGCACGTCTACGGTTGCACCAGTGGGTGGTTGCTTTTGCCGTAGATATGTACTGATGGTAGATGTGTAGTAAGTACTTGCAGGGTAGGCGAGCAGCCGTATCCCGGAGGCGGAGGCAGAGGCCGAGCAGAGGTTGAGGTCATCGCCCTGGCCCCCGAACACTTACCGGATGGCCCATGGAACGACTCGGCCCAAGAAACGTGGCACGGCCAATCAGCACGTCGTCGGGGGTTTGCAGTCTGATTAAACCCAACCCTCGACTGCATGGATCAAGCGTTTTTCTCAGCTGGGCTGACGAAGACTATTGCCCCGCCTTGCTTTTGCTAGTTTCCCCTAGCTGTCCCGAAACGCGCAGCCAGGCCCATTTGTATCCAGTACGCCCCGTCGTTCCCGTCCACAAAACAACATCACAACAACAAAAAAGCAAGCCTAATATGCTCCCACAAACATAAACACCGCCCATCACCTGCACACCATCTTGTCGTCGACTCTCCGCCACTCCACACACTAGGCAATAAGCCAACATGACCACCACCATTGCCCTTCCCTATGACGACTTGCGGCCCCATGTTCTCCGGCCCAAGAAGTCCTTCTTCCAGCGCCTCAACACCCCCGACCACCTCATCTCTCGCATGCGCTCTCTCAAGGTCGACGACTCCGCTTCCCTCCTCAGGCTGTCGTCCGACCGTTCACGAGTCTCCACTGTGTCCCTCCTTTCTACTTCGGACTTTGAGCGCGACTATTTCCCCGACGTGACCAAGCATACCGAACTCGAGCGACCAGTCTCCTGTGCTGTCCTTTCACCCCCAACCTCACCAATGGAAGGAAGCTTCTTTCCCATCCAGCAGTTCCTTGCCCCCATGGACCGGAAAACCAGCAGAGAGTTTGTCCAAGGCATGCAAACCTACGTCCACTGGAAACAAGCTACCTACGAATCAACCATCAACCAAGCCCCATCCACCTCGCCACCTCAAACCCCGCAAAGCTCCTATTCCTGGACTTCTTCAAAGAGCTCCCGCAGCGAAATGTCCGACGAGGAGATGGATGACTGGCTCGACAAGCCCATGGATGCCGATGTCCATCGCTTCCGCAAGCTATCTGCTGCATCTCTCGAGAGCCTGCCTTCCTCCTCCGATGAGTCCGAAATCAAGATTCATGTGATCCAAGAGCAGCCCGACGAAGAAGAAATCGCCGCCCAAGGCAACCGCCGACAGCTTTCCAGCATGTGGCGCGAGACTTGGTGCTGGGAGACAAACAGCCAGAACCGCACCGCCAACAACCAAGGTTACGAGATTGTCTTGCCAACATCCACAGCTGACGAAGACGACTCGGCCAAGTGAGGGCGTCGTCGCAGTTTGGCTCGCGCTAATTTCCGCGAGCTTTTTTTAACCCACCTGACTTTCTCCGTGAAAGCCACAAACGCACATCCGCTTCGTCTCAGCTGCATCAAGCCGAATGACGTAGCGCGGGCGCGGGCGCCACTGCGCCACCTCCCGAAGTGCCCAACCCAAATGATTTACTCGGGACCTATTAGACAGAACACTTGGACTTTAGTTACGACACTTGTAAGCCAGTTTCACCCAAAGGAGCGAAGAAAAAAAGAGAAGATGAGGACAAGACCACCCCCAACCCCCCTTGTGTGTCACAAAGCTCGTTGCCAACCACACCAGCCGCAGCAGAAGCAAAAGACTAGAACGCTCGGGGACCCAGTGGGCCAAGAGAGAGAGAGAGAGAGAGAGAGAGAGAGAGAGTGATAGATTTAGCACACGTCGTTGTTGACAGGTTCAACGGACGCGTAGATGAGGACCACCGGCGATGAACATCACATAGACCATATACCCCCTCCCAACACAGCAGCTCAACAGCGCTTTGGAAATTTTCCTTTGTCAGATACCAATGTCTTTTGCGACTCCGTTGAGTCGGTTACTGTAGATATTTTCTTTTCACATATTCAACTATTCTTTTAAAATCACTATTTGTACGCTTCCACCTTGAACGTGCCTTTGTGCTCCGATCCCCCTGACGCCCCCAGTCTGGATGCGCCTTTGCAACTGCTATCGCGCCACCATCTCGATAACGAAAAGAAGCAAAAAAAGAAACAAGTCTGCCAGCCACATGGAGAATACGAGTGCGAATATATTAGGAATGATATAAAAGAGATAATAATCAAAAAAGGTATAGAACTAAAAAACAACAACACCGAAAAGGCGCACGTGACGAGGGAACCTTTTGTCTCGCCAGTGAGATACAACATATCAAAACAACCATTACGCGTAATCATAAACCAACCAACCCACACACACATACAAACTCTCTTCTCTTAAGTGAAAAAAATCTGTTTCTTCCATAGAGCTCACACCATATCCTTCGCCTTAAACTGCGCCGGCCTTGGGTCCTGGAACGGCGACTGCACAGATTCACTCACATCGACCTCTGTCGTCACGGTAATATTCCCCAGCTCATGCGCGCCGCCGCGGCCATGAACAGAAGTATGGCGATTCAGTCTTGCAAAGCTCTCGATGCTACTTCTCGCATCGCCCCCACCACCAAGCGCAGCCGGCGAGCTTCTACCTGAGGAATTGACGGACGGCGCTGTGGCAGTATCTCTGGTTGTTTGGTGCGCGTGCGTAGCATCAATGGTAGTAAGCATGTACGATTTCCCCATCGCATCCTGTGCACGTGGGGCCTCGCCGCCGTCGAAAAACCCGCGATCCTCCACTCTGGGGGAGCCCAGGGGTCCATAGCTTTTATTCGTGGAGCGCTCCTTTGTTCCCGCGGCGTACGCGTCTGAGAAGTACTTTGGCTGGGATGTCTTGCGGGAGCCTTTGCCGTAGGTGGAGACGAGGATGGAGCGGAAGAGCGGTTTGAGGCAGGGTAGGTTACCAGCGACCATGCCGACATTGCATTCTTGGACCGTCCAGATGGTGAGGTTGCGTGAGTCCCACATTAGGTCGCCGGCGCGCCCGTAGTTGCCGATGTAGGAGAGCTTGACCATTGAGGCGGCGGTGGCAAAGAGGCCGAGGCCTAGGATGCAGATTAGGGAGGCTTTGTGGCGGCGGTTCATTTGCACGCCCCAGAGCATCGGGATCTGCGTGGGGTAAAGTGTTAGGGTGTTGGTTGTTGGTGGTCGGGTTGGAGAACGACTTACGGGTATGCCGATGGAGAAGGCAAGATCGGTAATCATGTTGAGAACGGTGTTGAGGTATCCGAGGATCTTGATCTGCGTTACGGTCCAGCATGTGCCTTTTACTGTTAGATCCCACATCATGCGGACATCGCTACATTGCAAGAAGACGGTTAGAACGCAGCCGAATGTGTAGACGCCCATGAAGACTAGTGTAGGTTAGTAAAGATTTGTAGGTAGTGCTTAGGGCGAGGCCATGTCCACTCACTCATGATTCCCGTGATGAGACGCCGGAAAAAGGGTCTGACTGCAATTCTCAAGAGGAAGAAGCCCACAGAGATCTTGACAAAACAGATGGCGAAGAGATATATCGGTTGCGATATAAAGTTCAACTTCATTGCTTGTGAAAAGTCTTTGGGGTCAATGTATTCGATGTGTCGACCTGCGCCATAGTGGACCTGCGGTATGATTACGCATTGGCCTGCAATACACTTTTTCCATCCATTAGTGATTGTACGAGAGAGGTGTGTAAGTAAACATACCAAGACCATTGATAGAATCATAGTATAGTCCTAAAGGGGCGGAAACATCAGCAACTGTCGACCCACTGTGTTGTTAAAAACACTTACATCCCACCCCACATTACGGATCATCCGAATGCGAACATAGAGTCTCGCTATTGTGGTTATCACTGCCAGGATGAAAACCGACAAAGTGGCCCCTAGGATAGTAGGTCCTTGATTCTCATCTGGCCGTACCGCCGCCATGTCGGCGCGTTGAATCATGGTCAAGAAAACGTATGTGCTGGATTGGGGAACTTGTGAGATCTCACACCCAGGCGCATGCCATGTTCTTAATTGTTACAAGAACTCCTAAGCCGCTATGCTAAGAAGCGACTGCAGCCAGCCGAAACCGACCAGCCCATTGATCAGGGGGGGAAGGACTACGGGGTGAATTGTCTTCTGAGACTGGACTCGCAGAACCTTAAAACCGCCACACGGAGGTCGAGGGAACAGGTACCGTTTTATCAGTAATAGCCTGCTTTAATACGGTAGGTGTACTTAGCCCCAGCTAATAGGAAACCAGTCACCATCTATTGCAATTGCCACTTACGGGCATCTGGGAACGGACTTGAAGGTATTTGGGTTAGTCCTGCAGACAAGAAGGTGTTCATCCAGCATGGCCCGCTTGAGACGGATGCTCGGCGGAGCATCCATATGCGTTTGATCAAGTACATACTATGTATGCACGACATCAACCCCCAGGGTCCATGCGAGCAGCTGGTCAATCGATTCTCGTAGCGATGTCCGAGTGCGGTAAAGGCTGCGATCAACCAGCTGCCAGAAAGGATCGGCACTTGCAATAGTATTGCCACGATATCAAGGAAGGATGCAAGTACTAATCACATGAACTGCAGAGATGCTGTTCAGGATTGTAGCAAAAAGAAAAGAAAACGTTCACGATCTGGTTGTCTTGCCCCGCATAACAGTTTGAAATGGAGGGGCTGACATGTTCCTGGAACAGATTTGCATTCTACGGCTTACTATGCCACTCCCCACGTGGGTGGTGAAGCCGTACGGGATGTCATCGCTGCCGATCCAGCCCGAATCTGCCACAGGACGAGCAATCAGTCCATCGATAAACAGCGAGATTACGTGAGGGGAAGTGTGATGGGCCGCAGTTCGGACTGGGCAATGCATGTATTCGAAACTAGGTACGAGAATCCTCCAGGAGAAATCCTGGATCACCTTACGGTATTGACGCGGTCAATATTCAGCGAGAGTACCCAGCCTAGATGTGAAGCAGGACCATAGATGTGCTGCGGCTTACAGGACGGTATTTCGTACCCCGCATACTGCATGTAATCCCAGTAAGCATGTGTTTACATACATGTGTATGCCGGTAACCAGACGTTCAGTAAATCTGTTCGTATATCTGCTTGGTACCTATCGCAGCAACATGTCGAAAGAAAAGCGAGCATCTCGCGGAACGGGAGAGAGAGAGGAAGAAGGCGTCTTTGGAGGGTAAAGAGGTTTCTAGCTGTCATAGTACCGGTTAATATCGAGGTGGTTGGCCTGAATATCTCGTGCGAAGACGGCACGCAGGTTTCAACAAGGCTTGACCAGTGCGCAATAGCCAATAGAAGGGCTTTGGTCTTGGGCATAAATGCAAGTCAAGATTATCCAGCAGGACAAGATGTCTTGGTTGCGCCATAAAACGTCTGTGCGAGAGGAGAAGGATGCAGGACGGGGAGCCGGCAGTACGGGACGTGGCACTTGGCAGGGTTTAACCATGCACCAACTAATAACAGCCAGCGGACATGGCTTCCTTTTTACCATGCGCCATGCATTGTAGTCCGTCGACACCAGGCCCAAACTGGTCAATCAAAACCTCGAAGGATCTGTCTTCTCGTAAGGACGCTTTTCTGGACCGCACGAAATGCAAGAGCAGGCAAAAAAGACACGAGTCCGTTTTGGATCCGGCAGGCACAGGAAGATTGCCAAGTCACCCGGAAAATGCTGCTGAAGGATCTCAGCTTTCACGTGGACGCTTGCAGCAGCTGAGCTAGGGACATGGGCTAGATGTCGAAGATACGTCAATGCAAGCGTGGCGGAGTTGAAGAAGGCCGTAGTCCGCTGTCCAGACGGCAGAACAACATATCGATTTCCCACCCATTACTCGTGCAAACACATGTGTTCAGCGGGAACGATAGCACCACTGATAGATCCCGCGACCATGGGGGCAATGGGGTGATGGGGCCGCCGGTTCCAGCTGAATCGCCATTGCACGACGCCAGGCCTAGTATTGTTCGTCCAGAACCTCGGGAGTTTCTATCCGATCTCAACAGCCACTTGTTTCCCCAACTACAGGCCTAGGACTATGCTGTAGTTCGCGGTGGACAGGCTCGTGTAAGGATAGCCCATTGACATAATCTTAGACGTAGGATCCTGGCTTCTTAAAATACTTACTTCTAGGCCATCCTGCCCGAACTAGAAGAAAGATTATGCCCCAGGGACTTGTCTGTCATTGGTTTACACTGCCACATGGCCTCGACGTAAGCCCTAATGGGCTTTGAAGTTGTCCTACGCCGCAGCCTAGCCGCGGTCGAGTATACGATTGGAGTATGGTTAATGTGGCTTTCGGTATCTGTCGCCCCCAATCCCGGCACTTGAGCATTGGACGCCCAAATTACTGTAGTAACCCTTGAGTGAGGCACTGCTTTCTTTTAACTATATATCCTTACAAACATGTCTGCTTCTTTTCTAGTGGCACTGCTTTCCATCACTTTGCTTTTTTAACTCCCTCGTCTTTCTTTGCCTAAGCCTAATTTTCCGTGAGCTGTAGGACAAGATGCGTTTCAACTCTCTAGCGCTCCTCCTTGCTGCTGGAACGGTGTCAAACGCACTACCAGCGCCACAGAATGATCCCTCACTACCTACTGAAGCCTCGAGTGATCCTGCAGTCGCCAGCCAGCAAATCGATCAGCTTGCTTCTTTCGCTGAAGAGCAGGTCAGGGCTGCGCTAGAAGGCAACAATGCTAAACGGGGCACTTGCAATGCCAACAACGTTGCCATCCGCCGCGAATGGAATGATTTGTCCAAGAAGGAACGCAAGGCTTACACAGATGCCGTCCTGTGTCTGCAGGCAAAGACTGGCAAGACACCCGCTTCATTCGCAGCGGGCGCCCGATCCCGATTCGATGACTTTGTCGCAAACCACATTGACCAGACACTTTTCATCCACTACACGGGCACCTTCCTCGCCTGGCACCGCTACTTTACCTGGCAGTACGAGCAAGCCCTCCGCAACGAGTGCGGCTACAAGGGCTACCAACCCTACTGGAACTGGGCCCTGACCGCCCAGAGCGGCCTGGAAAAGTCCGCCATGCTCGACGGCTCCGAGTACTCCATGTCCGGCAACGGCGAGGCCATCCCCAACCAAGGCGAAGTCGTGATCGCCGGTACAGGACCACCTCCGATTCGTCTTCCCCCCGGTACAGGCGGCGGCTGCGTCAAGAGCGGTCCGTTTAAGAACATGAGTAAGTAGTTCCTCTCAAACCCCTCCCAAACCACAGTTCTCTCAAGAAAGAAAGAAAAAACACATAACTAACAACCGCCAACAGAAGTCAACCTCGGCCCTACCAGCCTCGACCTCACAAACGGCAGCACCATCGCCAACGGCGACGGCCGCTCCTACAACCCCCGCTGCCTCAAACGCGACCTCACCGACTACTGCAACAAAAAATGGGCAAACTCAACCTCCATCGCCAGCCTCATCCTCAAAAACAACGACATCTGGAACTTCCAAATGACCATGCAGGGCTGGCCTGGCACCCCTGACCTCGGCGTCCACGGCGGCGGCCACTACAGCATGGGCGGCGACCCGGGCCGCGACTTCTTCGTGTCGCCCGGCGACCCGCTGTTCTACCTGCACCACGCCCAGATTGATCGTGTGTGGTGGATTTGGCAGCAGTTGGATCGCAAGACGCGGTTGGGTGCGAGTGGCATTTCGGGAACCGGTACATTTAGGGATATGCCGCCGAGTGCGAATACCACGCTCGAGACGGTGATTGATCTGGGATATGCGGCGAGTCCGCCCAAGAAGATGCAGGAGTTGATGAGTACGACCGAGGGGCCTATGTGTTATATTTATGTTTGAGGGGTGAAGGATGGTGTGAATTGGGGGGGGGGGGGATTTAAATGAAACGATTGGGTGTATATATGTTTTATTGATGATAGATTTTATTGTTTAATTGATATGGTAATCATCATTTAGGGACATGGAGACTTACTAGGTGTGAAGTACTTTTGCTGGGGCTGCTTGTGTAGTAAGCGTCAGCCGGGAGATGTTTATCAAGTATGAAATTATGAGTATATTTCGAGTCCAAAATATCACGCCATGCGAATAGACTCATCAAGAAATAATCTCATTCTGATTCCTTCAACATGGCTCAAATCAGCATTTTTTTTATCGCACCTGACATAACCAAAGTGATACCAGACAATGGATGATAAACATGTCATGATAACGAACGCCATCAAACGCCCCAGAGAACAAAGCCAGCGTCTGGACATGAATAACTCTCTGTTCAGAACCCGGCATACATTACCCCCTCAACGCGTCCCAAAACACAACAAGACACCATCTTCTCAAACTAGAAGATGGAGTTAACAATGTTTCCACCAATGGTAGCACCTGTAAAGAAATGTAAGCGATTAAAAGATGCCATTGACGATTTTGCTTCCAATTGTCGCACCTGCACCAAAGATAGCCGCGTTACCCAGCTTCTTGCCAAACTTCTTGCCCTGCGTCTCGACCTTGCTGGGCTCGGCGGACGGGGCCTGGGCGCTAGAGGCAACGTCGAGGGGCATGTTGCCGTAGTTGGAGGGAGCAGGAGCAGCGGGCGTGTAAGCTGGCATGACGCTCTTTTCCTCCTTGCGCACGTAGCTGGCAGGGAAGATGCCGTCCATGCCTGTGCGCTCGTTGCGGCCCTTCCACCACTCGTTGTTCATGTACTCGGTGACGGCGATCTTGTCGTTGGGCATGAGGGCCAGGTCGCCGGCGTCCTGGGCATTGTACTGGTACATGGCTGAGGCGTAGCACACAACGGGGGGCCCTGCGGGGGCGGCGGGAACAGAGGGGTAGGCTGGCGGCGGCGCGTTGGCAGGCGCGTCGGCGTAGTAGCCAATGTTGGCCGCCTTCTTCTCTGGTGGCGGCGTGGGCTGGCTCTGGATGTTCATCTGCGCGAGTTGCTGAGTCGGTACGGCGGCGGGAAGCATGCGGTTATTGTTCTCGGCTGAGACGGGCAGCTGGGCAGCAATCGCATCGTGTTGCGCAGTGGTGAGGACGTTGGATTCGACGAGAAATTGGAGGTTCTATGATGGTTTAACAAGAATCAACGCCAGGAGCAGAGTCGGCGCAGACTCACGTTCTTGATGTCGCCCAACGCCCGGTTGATCATGGCATTCTTGAAGCTGTCCGCCATGTTGAAAGTTGTTGGTTGCAATCCGTGTGTCGCTTTGAATGCGCAGAGAGATAAAAGGCTTCTTGAAAGCTGGGGCACGATAAGTGAGGTAGTAGGTGTATGCTGATCACAGAGAGAGAATGCAAAGTCGAGTGACAGAAGAGTGGCCCAAAGTCCAGAGTGGAGTTGAATACGAGAATAGGGTGTTGCAGGTGATTAGCGGCACACTGCTCGGAATGTCTGCGCCGCATTTGGGGCTGTGCTTAATTTACTTGTGCTGCCTACGCGGCAGCAGTGGGACGCGATATTTATTTACGGATCTTGACGAAACACGGCGCAATAGAAGCCACGTCCGTACGACCAACTGTGCATGTATTTCTATAGATTGAAGTTGTCGTGTCATTGCTTCTCTTCCGCGAAGCCATAGTATTGACTGCGTATAGACTAAAGTCCAGGGTCTCCTGCAACTGTGGCTTGAGAATGTCTCCCTACCCCGCCAAGCCCCCCGCCCGTCTCTCGTCCGCGCCCGTCGCCCACTCAATCCCAAACTACGACAGGAACACTTGCTTCCACAGCTCCTGTCTCTTATTCTCAAACGCGTCAAAGGCCTTGACTGTGAATCCCACTGGAATCTGCTCCTTGCCCTCAACCAGTCCCTTCCATGCCTCGTCGGTAAACTCGCTCAGCGGCATGCCAATGTTCCCTCCATCCTTGATATCCGGCTGATGCTTCTCGTCGTGCAGTTCCGTCTGCACAGCTGGCGGAAAGATCTCAATCACCTTGATGTTTCCGGGCCCGTTAGCTAACTGGTGTCGCAGAGCGAGAATCATGTGATGCAGCGCCGCCTTGGAAGCACAGTAGTTCGGACAACGCGGGAGTGGCATGAGCGCTAATCCAGACGTCGTGTACACGAGCGACGTCTCCTTGTTCTGTCTCTGCAAAAACGGTATAAAGGCTGTGGTAAGATGCATATAAGAGATGTAGTTTGTTCGAAACTCCATTTCCAACACGTCGAGATCAATTGTCTCGGGCTTGGAGAAGTCGAAGCCGCGCTGGATACCGGAGTTGAGGAACACGCAGTCGAGATCTGGGTGCTTGCTTATCACGTCCCTGAAAAACTTGGGGATCTCGTCCAGTTTCGTAATATCCAAGACAAAACTGTCGACCTTGTCGCTACCGTGCTTCTTCTTGAACTCGTTCAGCTTGTCTTGTCGCCGACCCACGATGATCACTTGTTTGCCATCTTGTACAATCCGCTCCGCCAGCGCTCGCCCGATACCCGAGGTCGCGCCAATTACAAGGACCTTGTTGTATTTGAGAGACATTACTGCAAAGTATGTGTATTGCAGATGTAAATGAGGGGGGACTTCGAGCCGGAATCGCCCACGAGTTTATACCAGGTTTGTACCCGATTATCAAAGACATCATCACAGCGCAACTAGCCAACATGTGTCCCCACTCTAGCCCCAGCTGTTCGATCCACCTGACGTATCAGGACTCGGAAGCAGCGGACTGACAAAAAAACTCATCGTGCTATGATGTTACATAAAAATTCCAGACGATGTTGTTGCAAGTACGTCATGGTGATCGGCCCTTCGGCAGTTGCTCCGAGGCAAAAAGTACGAGACAAACGTCAAAAACATACAACAGCAGAGATTCGCTCGTAGTTACCTACCTAACTACTACTCCGCCAAATAAAACTACTAACGAGACAAGAAAAGCAGCTTTGAGATTGTAGTTGTTCTCTCCATTGAACTAAGAATCTTCTAGAAGCCTCATTATGGTCGCCTAGCCTAAGCCTGCTTTTCAAGATTTATAGAAGGAAGTACTACTATTTAAGCCGGAACTTTGTAACGGCAATAGAGAGTATCCTATCCCTTGTTGCAAGGTACAGGTCGACCATTCCCGCCTGCAATCTGTCCAGTGACTAATACGCTATCCGAATATCCAGCTGGACAAGGCCCGGTGGTAGACAACCCTGCACACTTTGAACTGCGTTAGCACACAATCTTGCTAAATTAAACATAGGATACTCACGCAATCAGAATATAGAGCACAATCTTTCCTATCAAGCTGGATCGAGCCGCTACAGCACCCCTCCACAGGATCCGCGTGAACGATAGGAATGCCATGAGATAGCCAGAGGACTGCGAAGATGTTCGAGGAAGCCAAGCATAGTAGTGAGTTCTTAATGGATTTAAGTAACATTGCTTATAGTATCGCTGGGTGTAAACGATGCAAGAGATTCAGCTATGCCAAACTAAATTCTTTGGATGCAATGGTGGTAATAACTACAGACGGATTCTGTGGATTCACACTACCAGCGGGGTGAGAGGTGCCTGGTCTTATAGCATCCAACCCTACGTGCCAAAACACCCTATAAGCCGAGAATGGCTAAGGATAACCAATTGGATCGCAAGTATCAAAGTACGGAATCCTGGCAATTATATTGGTCATTCTCGGTCCCTAGAGTTTTTCAGCACGTAGGGATAAACTCTATGTCCAGCCCTTACACCTAGCTAGACAAGGGTTTTTTCACGCAATTGCAGAAGCTCACTATCTCCATACATGTATCTCTACATATACTCAGTGGTACGCGAATATGAGTATGATTATGATACATTTATAGACATTCATTAAATATTAGATAGAAAGATTGTACTCTAGAAGATAAAAAAGTAGCAATTCACGTACTTCCTCTGCCTATTGATTACTTTTTTTTATTTAAAAAACCTCCCTAATATGAGAGTTCATTCACGCGCTGACGACATCAGATATCAAGTACCGATAAGAGGATAACGTACCACGATCCTAGTGTAATCTACAATGCTACGCAGCTCTTTCAATGCTTGTAGTAAAGTGTACCCCACTTCACGAAAGTTTGATAACATTAAGGTTCAATAGAATCTGACACAAAGGTTCAATAGTGTTCAACACAAAAGTTTGCTAAAAAGGGGCAATACTCTGTAAGAATTTCGAGAAGCGTTGGAATGAATTTAGGAGTTAAAGAGTGGTACTGTTAATGAGTAGTAACTGACGATGGCAAAAATTGTTAGAGATCTGGAGCAAGTGCGATTTACGAAAGTGGAAGCTAATGCCGGCACGTACGCAAAGCTAGAGGTCTGGAGCTACTATCGAAAAAATTCAGCACCAATCCGTTGAATGGAAAAGCAACTCATTGCTCACAACGGCACGCCACCTTCCTCTACATCATCTTCATGTTCCTCTCGGCTCAACCATCTACCACGCTGATACCTCTCAAGAGATGCTCGGGACCAAACTTGCCGGTATATCACCTCAACAATTACAATCATGACATAATATTACGGCTTAGCAAGCATTGTCTACTTGCAGCGATCTAGAATGTTTGCAGCTTTGGCTGCATATTACAATCGGTCCCGGAGGGATTTTCGTGCACAAAGAAACGCAATCTACTTGGCTCTAACAAGCTCTGCGCTGATTGGCCGTGCTAAGGTGTTAGAAATCTCTGTAGTATTTGGATAGCGCCTAGTTACCATCAGAATCTCCGTTAGCCTAACCAGCCAAAAACACGAGCCTGAAAACAAGCTCAAGAACAAGCTAAAAAAAGGAGCCCTCCACGAGAATCTCCACCAGACCAGTCACTTCAACCAAAAAAAACGGGCTAGAAAACAAGCGAAACAATGGGCGAGAAAATAAGCCAGAGAATCAGCTCTCCGCAGGAAGTGCCATTGCACGTGCCAGCAAGCAGGCTACGCACTGTCAGGAGTCTCGCGCGAGACGATACAGCAGCAGCAGCTCTTATGTATAAGGCTGAGCTATTACTGGTATAGTATCGCTAAGCTGGCGCTTCCCCTACGCTACTGGTTTAAGGGTAGGCCAGAATACAAGCATACACAGTGTCAAGACCTCGATGTTGTCGCGGGACCTAGCAAAGTTTAGAAGCAGGTGCTTAAAGCGCACGAGGGAATGAAAGAATGGTAAATAGTTGTACTACATGATGCAACACTGGTTCTGCCAGCCTAGCGGATGGTTTTCCCATCGCGCGGAACTACGGAAGGACCATGGTGCTGGCGTTGTGATTTTCCCGATTCAGGATTTGCAAATCGCATTAGTTCTCTGTCCAGGCGAGGAGGGTACTCGGAGATTGCCGAATAATTCATCAAATTGAAAAAAAAAATTCCCAAAAGATGCCCGCACTACTTTGTAGTATCAATGGCTTCAGTTAGTATCTTGGAACTGGGCTGGCTATAGCGCTGAGAACTGTGGTCGTGAGAAATAGGTAATCAAATTCTTTGTCATGTGTCGCTAACCATCCAACTGTAAAACAACATTGTCAATAATTCCGCGTGCACGATTTGCATGCAAGAAAACTTAAACACTATTAAGGATAAATTCATCAGGAAAAACGCAGAAAGCTATTATTGAGCTCTTGCTTTTCGAGAATACATACTATGATAAACGTTATAATGGATTATAGAGCACTTAGCAGCATAGAACCATCTGGTAAGTCCGAAATAACTAACATATGTGGTTCGTTCACGCTCAGAAATTCAGCACAGCTACGTTTTGGACATTGTCGAGGGCGTTATCCCAAGGCTTAGTCTTTGTAGCGTTAAAGGCGTAGCAGTTGTTGCCGACAGGACTGGCCTATATATTTCAAAAGGTAGTCGTTATAAAGTTTCTGGCAAATTACTACAGCGTCACCTCGTTCATAAGGACGTTGGGCGATTCACTATACATGTATCCGCTGAGATGGCACTATGGAAGGACTTTGCAAGCTTATCTACCAAGTAATACATAGAATCACCTGGTGTGCAGAGAAACATCTCCTGTGGTGATCTATATGATGGCTAGTCAAAGTCGTCATGCTATTAAAAGTACCTAGTAATATTTAACAATCTTTCGATAAACCGTACGACTGTCACATCAGCGTGCCAGACGTCTAGATTACCTAATAGTCTTCCGAGCTGTATAGATTGAAATGCAAACGAATGTATGTTCGCGCTTTGCCTTTCCTGATAGCGTGTATTGCCTTTGCAATCTTCAAAGCTGCGATGTGTAATCTAGCCATATAGAATGACCGATTCCGCCTACCGCATTACAATCTCTTTCGCGTTGTTGCTTTAGCTTGACTATCTCCCCTTATATGCTATTATTTGAGGGCCAGTTCCAATGTTATCTAGCAAGTGGATGAAGCCATATTTACCCTCAGAGGAAGTATGATTCTGGTTACAAGAAAGAAGCTCTCCAGACACCTTAGTCTCAGTATCCGAAGATATAAACGGCTCAAGACTGTCAGATCTTCAGCAGCAAGGGCCTGTTGCACAAATAATATTAGACCTTGTTCGGTACAGTAAATCGAAGTCGCATGTTTCAACATATGTGTAGGGGTCTATGTATTTAAGAGCAATGGTTTTGTCCAATAATCCTAGTTTGATTGATAACGTTCCATACGGACACGAAGCCGAGCTGGGCACCGCGTTAGGGTAGCTTAGCCTGTTTCTGTTCTCCAAGCCAGCTAGGTATCGTTAGCACAAGTCCCTCCTAGCTACTTCCTTACTCACGCATCTAATTTCCACGTTCCTGAAAAGTACAAATGGCGCTGTAAGAAGATGACGTACTCGCCGTTTATGATGTTCTCGCACAAGTTACCGAGACGAGAGAGATAATGTCACTAGGAGATAAAGCACGAAGTCCATTCTTATTCCGGACCAAACAATCGCTGATCTACATCGCCGAACTGGGCTCTTCGCGTCCATATCCCTGGCATCCAATCTGCTTCCGGCTACATTGCGAGTGCGATTACTTATAACAACCGTAGATTATATAAGAATATGTTCTGGACGTGATGAGCCCCGCCTCGGACTTTCTCGGTTCACACCAACTACTGGCGCCTCAACGATGTATGGAAAACCCGCATTGGCAATTGGTTGGGGAGAGCAAAGCGTTACATTTCCAAGAAACACAGCGACACAGATCTGGTAAAAAAGACGCTGTTCACGGACGAATATCACCGCTTGACGCTTGACCCTCGATCCTCGATGATGCGATCTTCCGACTCAGTCTACAAGCTTTTTTCTAAGTGGACTCGTTCGATTGAGACTTGCGCCAAGTGAAAAGAAACCTGATATGTGGTACGTATGCACGCATCTCTCTCTCCTAGGATAGAATTCATACGCCTAGTTGTATCGGCCCCTTTTGTGGATGAAGGTTCCCGAACATCCTCCCGTCAACCTAACGATTAAGAACTATAGCCCTTAGTCTCAAAAGAGTTAGCTTCCCTTCGATCTGGGATGGATATCAATAGGGATTATGATTCAGGTATAACTACCCCAGATCACCGTGGTAGGATCGTCCTCCATGAACACGACACTCTACATGCTGCATACGCTGAGATATTCATACTGATATATCATGCAAAAAGTGCTTGACTTCTAATAAGAGTCTACTTGGTTGAACCCAAACATCTGTCGCAGTATGCGCCTTGCCCTCCAAGACTCATTAAACGAACATTACGTGCATCGTAGGTACCTCACCTGTCATTAATCAACACCACTGGTGAGATGAAATTCTTATTTCTGATTCGCCAGTTGAACACGTAGGAAAACTGCCGAAGTAGACTGTTCCTATTGCGTACATGTACTGTGTAATAGTAAGACGGACTAAGGCGGTTAGCGAATCGCGGATACCGCGACGGCGGATATGCTGCTTCCTGATTGACTAGGTCTTGGAAGTTTATTGGCGCAAATGCGGGAATTCTTCGGTATATCCCCATGCACAAGTGTAATTGAACAGGGAAGTAGTCGCAATAATTCGTCAGAGGGCTCAGGGTGCCTTAAAAGATGAACCGGATGCCTTTGCCGGCAAGTCAAGTATGGAGCACATCTCCTATTCAAAAACCTTCTGCTGCTAGCAGGACTCGCTATAGATGAATATGCGATTCATATTTTGATGAATGTAGCAGGAGATATACTATTGCGGAACTTGTTGTTGTTCGACTCGGGCCGCCCCTACATTCATCCAACATTACGCAAGCCACAAGTACTTAGACCGAAGGCTAGGCTTTGAGCGAAAAAAAGAACGACAACGGCAATGTCTTTGTAGTTCAGTCTAGCCCCATGGAACGAAAGAGCCGTAGGGGGTGTACTAGGCTGCATGCTTACGAAAGGCATAAGAGCTAGAGTTGCAAGGAGTCGGCAAAATGGCGACTCAACGTCGCACACCATCTCTTTCAATGGCTGAAACCTACCTACGACTGGCGACATGATTGATCTAAAACAAGTAGTAGGAATATGTTGAAGTGACAGTGTGTCTGTACTCGTGACGAGTGATAGTTCGGGGGTGGGACAGACTTGTGCCAAGTTACCAAGGCATACGCTAAGGCGCCATATCCGACAGGTAGACCATGCATGCACGCCTCGTATCGCTGAGCAGAAATCGACAAGGATGAAGACGGCGGGATTTGGTAAACTACCAGGTACTTGCAGCCCCTTGGAATCTCAATTTCACAAATGGAACATGGGGTGAACAGGGATAGCCATGGAGGTCTGCCTTTAGTCATGTGTCAATCTATTTGTGGGACACAGTTTTGATTCCGCACCAACAGAACCCTTTCATATGTAATTGTAGAGAAAGACTACCTAGGTCTTTCTGATCGATCGGTCTTTTTGCTCTTGCGGTTGATTCCAAGCTCGTCACGAGTAGTCCATGTTACAACATCCCGCCAAGTCAGCCGACCTGACCACTTTGGCAGATAGGTACTGGTTATGAAGCCTCATAGGATCCTGAAATATGTTTGCGTCGTCTTTGCATTATTCGTTTGGACGGTTTCTTGTCAACAGCAGATGTCAGAATGCGCAGTAAGTGACATCTTTCTCTGTCTAAGTGGCTGCCAAGTACTAAATCGGTGACAAAGACAGAATGCTACGAATCAAGCATCGCCACGCAGACTACCTGCACGCCAGCAGATGTAACCTGTATATGCGCAAACCAGAAATACCTTGATACTACCAATAAATGTATCCGGTCATCATGCACCATAAGAGAAGCTTTGGGTTTGTCCAAGAAAACCCCCCACCCATTCCAACAACACACTAACAAAACCCCCAGTTGCTCAAAACACTACAGCAACCCTCTGCGGCCGTCCCATACGTGATAGAACGGGCATCTCCCCAATAATAACCGGAGTTACTGGCGGCGCCGCGCTGTTCTCCGTAGCGGCCCGGTGCTACATCGTAGGCAAAGGCTTTGCCCTCGATGACTTCTTCGCCGTGCTCGCCTTCATCAGCGCCATCCCCCTAGGCATAATGCAATTCCTCAAGTCAGCTGCTGGCAACGGAAAAGACATTTGGACCGTCACTCCTGAGAACATCACTCTAATCATGAAAGTATGTGAAGCTCATTTCTGTTTCCCCCAAACCCTCGTCGCCCTGTCAAGGGTGTCCCAAAGAAAGGCAAGAGTTGAATGGAAAAGTTAAATACGTAGCTGACATATAAAGTATACGTGGGTAGCCGAGATATCATACTCGGTCGTGCTCCCTCTGACAAAAATGTCGTTTGTCGCCTGCTGCCTGCGCATCTTTCCTAGTACCAAATTTCGCTGGCGTGCAAACGTAGTTATGGCGCTGTGCGTTGCCTACGGCATCACCTTCGCCACTGTCACCTTCTTCAACTGCACGCCCATCGACTATATATGGACGAGCTGGGACGGCCAACACAAAGGGACCTGCATCAACTTCCACATCTTTGCGGCCGCGGCCGCAGCCCTTAACATCACGATTGAGATTCTGGTGCTCGCACTTCCGATTCCCGAGTTGCTCAAACTAGCAATAAGTCTGCGGAGCAAGCTTTATATCATTGCGATGTTTAGTGTTGGCATTTTGTTAGTCTTCTTCCCCCTCCCAACCACAGTTCTACATATAGTAACGTAAAGTCAAAAAACATGGGCTAACAAAAGAGCAAAAAAAATAGTACACTAATCGTAGCCACTCTCCGCCTACAATCCCTCGTCATCTTCAAAAAATCCTCAAACCCAACCTGGGACTACGTCCCCACGGCCTACTGGTCCACCCTCGAAGCCTACGTCGGCATCTTCTGTATCTGCATGCCCGCCCTCCGCCGCTTCCTCACTCTCACCTTCCCCCGCTGCTTTGCCTCGACACCGCAGAACTCGCGGTATAATTTGTACGAGGACGGGCCCGCGCTGCCGAATCGCGTCTCGCAGGGTCCGCCGAGGGACTCAAAACCTATTAGTCTGGCGTCCGGTGGGAGGTTTGGGCTGGAGACGGAGGTGCATACGAAGGTTGTGGAGACGCCAGGGGAGAGTAGGGAGAATTTGAAGGAGGAGGAGGAGGAGGAGGGTGAGAGGGTTATGCTGGCTGATATGGGGAGTGCAAGGACAGAGGGGAGGATGGTGTAAAGGTGGAGAAAAGACTTAGTGACATAGATTATGAGTATGACATGTAAAACGGTATGTCTTAGGCCTTATACCTTAACTTTTTACGAATATTATTTCTAGTTGGTCTACGAAATTTTGCTTCATGTGTTTTTTTTTTGACTAGAAAATTGACGTCATTGTAGTGGTTCCGCGGATGGATTCAGGTTAAATAGGTGGGAGGAAGGGTAGGTTGGCTGTGTAAACCTCCTAGTGTATTGCGATCCAATCGAAACTCAGACGACCACTATTTATCCCCTTTTCGTCCATCTCCATTTTTAAGCAATGACGTAGGATCGATCATGTGCCATTCAAACCAGATGTGCAACTGGATTGGTTGAGCTCAGCCTCCTTCTATGCAGCGAAGCCGCATAGAAGGAAGCGGAATAAGAAGCGCGTTTGCCTAATCTAGCCACCTACACGCTAAACTGTATTTGGCCGTCGACAAGTGTATGAGTGGGACATGATCTTGGCATATTTTGTGTTACATCGAAGCAATTGAAGGAGATAAAACCCACCACTGGAGCCTTCTTCCACCAAATCTTCTTTCAACAACTAACGGTGAAATTTAGGATCTCTAGTTTTGACATATAGAAATCATGGAGGAACCAGTAAATGTAATGGCTAGCGTTAGGGCAATGTTTTGCCACCTGGCCCGTACGCTCATGCGAGCGGGACGGATGCTCCTGGTAGCACTGAAGAAGATGTATTATGGGTGTAAGATTGTTCAAAATCTTCTTTTGTCATGGCAAGTTGCCGACCAATCCAGTGCACATTTTGGAAATGGGAGAGCACGTTGGGTAATCTGCCCGGTAATCGCTTTGTTCGTTTTCATCTCCACACTCCTGGAGCATGTCCCCTGGGTAACCCCCTCTCGAAATAATCAAGGTATTTTACATTTCATCTAGTGTAGACATGGTACTAATAGGTATGTGGAGCAGGTGATCTGGAAGCCGGAGTGCCATCCATGCGGCTTCCGCCAGTTGGAATAGAATAGGAATATGTGGAGTAACATGTGGAGTAACATGTGGTGTAGACGCAGCTGCCTATAGAACTAGGCATGAGCTCTTGGCGAATCCTTTAGCAAAAGGGATTGGACAATAGACCTCGTTCAAATGATCATGTTTGTAATTCTGATAGCCTAGTAGGTTAAATAAACACATATTTCTTGTGTTCAGTCTATGAGACGCTTATCTAGTGAAACCTACCATGTGTGTATTGTACAAGTTCAGTGAAAAGCAGACCAACTTCGTCAGAGGCCGTTTTCCATAATCAGGTAAAAAAGAAACCAAACGCCGCGCTATGCAAAATCAAACAGTCTACTTTCTCATGCCAGAGAAATCCTTTAGGATGCCAATCATGTGCGTGTTCGTCTGTTTGCCACCACGACGAGGACCCTTCTTCTTTTTTGTCGTGGAGGCAGCGACAATGACCTTTGCTTGGGTAGCAGCCGTCATCTTGTTGGCCAAAAGCACCTTGCGCAGCTCCTCTGGATTGTCGGGGACCTGGACCGAATGCCACGTCTTTGCAAATACCGGGTCCATGGGCAGCATGAGAGAAGGGTCATTGGCCCAGACTGTCTTTGGAACGCCGTCCTTGGCTCGTCGCACCAGCACCTCGTTCTTCTCCTCCATCTTGGTAATGTCTTCGGCCACATTGGACCAGCCGTCCTTCAAGTCCTTGATCTGCAAGCCCAGGGCCGACTTCTGTGTCTGGAAATGACCCTTGAGCTGGGCGCGGTTATGAATGTCCAGTTTGCTCTTGTATTTGTATCTCTCGTTCTACATGCAAAGATACAGGTCAGTATCAACAGAAGACACTATGTCCGCATGCACTACGAACCTGCGAGTCCCATGAAATCCGGTTGCCTTGATTGTCGGCACGCATTAGCTGGCGCAGCTGCTGGCGCTGGATGTGGCCAGGCGGAATGTTGAGGTACTCCATAATGTCTTCAAAACTATGCCATTTGTCCTTGCGCTCGCGCAGAAAATCGTTGACATAGGTGAGGCGGGTGAAGACGTGCTCGCCGGTGCTTGTGTCCTGCGGCTGGGAGTAGACGACTGGAGGCGCGCCATCAGCAGGACGCTTGCGCTTGGAGCCACTTGCAGACGAGGTTGATGGCGTCGGCGAGGGTGCATTGGCCGCAGATGACGAGTTCGCTTTAAGGAAAGACATGGCTGTAGAAGGGCGACACGGGTAGATGAAGGTTGGTGGATGGAAAAGGCGAAGGGATGATTGACAGGCCAGCGGCGTGAATGGGGGCCAAGTGTGCAGCGTCTAGCTAAAGAGTCGCACAGCGATTAGGGCAGAGTCAGAGGTGTATTGAAGTGAGCGTGGGCGTGTATGTGGGTGTGAGTGGGTGCAAGGCGGAAGTGAAGGTGAAGGTCAAGGCAGCGGAGACAAAGGAAGACGAGGGCATGAGCGCATGCAGGACTAGCCCCTGGCCCATGCGCCGCCTTGTCGTCAAAGCACTGCTGGCTCGCGACTTTAGAGAACAAGGCGCTGTTTCTTGTTCGCGTCAAACATCCCCATCGCCGTCTCTCGTTTGTCTGCAGTCCTCGTCCACAACCCTAGGACTGCTATCGATAATGCGCCGAGACGTGCGATAAACCACAACACACACCATGGCGGCCGCAACATTCGACGTTGGCTATCTGGCCGCGTCGTATTCCGTCCCCGAGACGACGCTGCAGTCGCTCCTATCCGAACCCACTGTAGAGCTTGTCCAAACACTGCTCACTCAGATCGAAGCCAAGGCACGCGCCTACGATGATATCCAGTCGGAGAAGATCCGCATTGATGTCGAACTCGAGGCCGCTGTACAGGCAGGCGAGCAACGCGCGCGAAGCTTGAAGGCCACAGCAGAGAAGGCACAGAAAGAAGCTGACGAGCTCAAGGAGAAGCTCTCCCACGAAGGTATGGTGTTTTACAGCCAGTTCGGCGCCACCTCTACTGACATTGTGTGTGCAGAACATGCAAGACAAGAGGCGGAGATGGCGCTGCACAACCTGCAGGCCGCAACTAGCAGCTCCTCGTCCGAGACACAGGCGCTGGAATCGCGCATCAAGACACTCGAGGCCCACAACCGCGATGCAATGGCGATGCACGAGGCCAAGACGGCTGCACACGACCGCCTGGCCAAGGAGCTGTCTGAGCTGCACGAGAAATGGCTAGAGTTGCGCAAGCAGGCGTCTGCCCTGGAACAGAAGAACCAGTCGCTCGAGAGCGATGCCACCAACGTCAAGTTCCGCGAGGCCAACCTGCAGCAGGAGATTGAGCAGCTGCGGAGCAACAACGACTGGTACACCACCGAACTCAAGACCCGTTCCGACGACCACAGCAAGTACCGCAAGGAAAAGAATGCCCAAATTGCCCAGTTGCAGCGCGACATTGCAGATGCCTCCGAGACGATCGATACCCTACGCCGCGCCGAAACCCTGCTCCGACAGCACATTGACGAACTCAAGAACAAGGCTGAGGAGGACCGCCTGCGCATCGAGGAACTCGAGAATGCCACGTCGACAGCCGAGGCCAACTTCCGCATCGAACTCGACGGCGCCCGACGATTGGCGGCATTGCACCAACAAAATAATGAGATGACCAAGAAGCGCCTGGAGCAGCTGCAGGCTGACAGCGAACGCATCCAGGAAGATGCTGCTAACGAGATTGGCCAGCTACAGGCCGATGTTGAGCTCGAACGCAATAGGGCTGCTGAAGCCGAAGCCCGCACGGCCGAGCTGGAGACACTCGTCGAGACTCTCAAGAGCGACAACTCTGACCTTCGAAGCTCGGTTCGCGTCCCTGCAACGCCTCGTCACGGCATGAGCATGAACGGAGGCTTCAGTACGCCGGGCAGGGCTGCATCACCTGCTGTCTTCTCTCCTGGCGGCTCCCAGCTCAGGGCTGATGCTTCCAAGACCCAGTTGCTGATTGAAAACAACGATCTCAAGAAGGAGCTGCGCAAAGTCCGGGAAAAGCATGAGGAGCAGAGCAGCATTCTCAACGAGATGCTTCAAGAACTCGAGCGCCGACAGCCTGAATTTGACGAGCTTCGTCGCCAAAACGACGCACTCATCGAGCAGAACAACGACATTTCGACTCTTCTCGAAGAAGCCATCGCCGAGCGCGAGGCAGCTCAACGGGACTCTCGCAAGGCACTGGGTGATCTCGAGGGTGTCCAGAACGAGTGCGCGCTACTTCAGCATCAAGTTCAGGACACGACGATCCAGTTGCGCTCGCTTCTATGGCGACGTGAAGCCGAAGAGAACGGCATCGCCAGCCTCCCCGAGGATCAGCAAAAGTTTATTCTCGAAACCGTCAACAAGAACGAATTACCGGACGACCTATTGCCCGACGATTCGCCGACACACAACATGATCACTAAGCATCTTGTGCTCTACAAGAACGTAGTCGAGATTCAACAACAGAATGCCGAGCTTTTACGCACCATTCGACAAGTAGGCGACGAACAGGAGAAGCAAGAGGCTCGCATGGCTTCCGAACAGTACCAAAAGGACATTGAGGAGCTTGGTCGCCTACGCTCCGTGGTCGCCGAGAAGGAGGAAGAGATCAAATCTCTCCATGTACGCTCACAGACTCTGAAGACAGAGCGCGACATGTACAGTCGCATCGTGAGTGGCCGTGGCCAGTTGCCTTCTCACTCGCAGTCAACCTCCATCTTCGCACAGTCGGTACCAGCGACAGGAGGCTTCTTGCAGCTAGAGAACGGCTCTCAGCCTCGCGAGATTCCGGAGTACAGCAAGCTTATCAAGGATCTTCAATCTCATATTGACTTGCTGAAGGAGGAGAGCGCTACCGACCGTGCCACGCTTAAGTCACAAGTCGATACGTTGACCAAAGATAACTCCCAGCTTCAGAGCGAGAAGCTCCGATTCGAGTCACAGGTACGACGTGAGCAGGACAGATATGCTCGTCTTGAGGGTAGCATCAAGCTGCTCCAATCAGAGAAGGACTCCCTCCAGGAGCGCTACAACAAGGTCCAGGCGACCATGGCCCAGCAGGATGATAGGCTTGTCAAGGCTACTCAAAATGCGGCCGAGGCTGAAGCCCGTCTCCAGAGCCTACAGGGTGAGATGGTTCAGCTCAAGGCATCCCAGCAGATGTCTGCAACAATCGAAGCACGCCTCAAGGAGAGGAATCAAGAATTGGTCACCGAACGTGACCGCCTGAGCAACATGGTTTCCTCGATTCAGAGTCTGCGTAATGAAGCTGAACTGGCCACTGCCGAAAGCCGACGCGAACTTCAAAACACAGTCGACAAGCTTCGAGCTGACCTGCAGACTGCCGAACGCAAATTGGAGGATGAGATTGCGGAGCACAAAAAGGTTATCCAAATGCGGGACTACGAACGCACGGAAGCGCAGCGAAGGATTGACGATCTTATCGCCGCTCGCAACAGTGCTGAACTCAAGTCTGCGACCGCCGACTCGACTCGTCAACAACTCGAGCAGCGTGTCAAGGATCTCCAGAACCAACTTCAACTGGCCGAAGAACGCGTGCAGGCCCTTCAACCACGATCTGCTTCGCAGGCCAATGGCTCAAACGAAGAGGAATCAGTCAGTCGTGAAGAAGAGCTTACTGCAGAAGTTGCAGAACTTAAGCGCAAGATTGAACGCAAGGAGGAAGAACTGGAAGCTGTCACTGCTCAAATTGCCGGTTTCCAGGAAATTGCACAGGACGCAGAGAACCGGCTGCAGAACTTTGTGGAGGCCCACGAGAAACTCCAAGAGCAGATCAACCTGGCGCAGCAGGAGAAGGATGCTATCATTAGCGATTTGCAACAGCGCGTTGAAGACATCTCTTCTGAGCTTGCCACCAGCAGCACCGAGCTTACGCAACTCCGAGGACAGCATGAGCAGGATACTCTGGTACTCCGACAAGAGAAGGAAGCTCTCGAGTCAGAGATTACCCGACTTAAGAACGATGTTGCCGATTACAAGGCTGAGGCCGAGAACCAGATGCAGTACGTCAAGACACAGGCCGATATCGCCGAGCGTGCACAAAAGGACTACGAACACGAATTCCAGAAGCACGCCGAGAGTATGGAGAGACTACGTGAACTACGGGAGCAGCACAACCAACTGCAGACCGAGATTACCGAGTTCAAGACGCAAGCTGAAGCGGCGCGTACGACACTGGAGCAGAGCCAAGAGCACTGGAAGTCAACAGAAACCCGGTACGAAGAGCAGATTGCAGAAGCTAAACGTCGTCATGACGACTTGAAGCAATACAACCAAACATTGCTTAAGCAGTTCGACGAGTACAAGGAGCAGATCAACAGCTTAAAGAACGAACGTGGTGCAATAGCAGCGGCCGGCGATGCGGGCACTGCCGAATCCGGCTCAAGCAATCTCCAGGATATCGAAACCTATCTCCGCCGTGAGAAAGAGATTCTAGAAGTACAATTGAACCTCAAGGTCCAGGAATCGAAGCGACTAGAGCAACAACTGACCCACGCCCAAACCCAACTCGACCAGACTCGGGAAAAGCTGTTGGAAGAACAAGCCAAGGCGTCTGGGTCACAGAGCAACTCCAGCCTCGCCCACCTCAACAAAAACCTCGAGGAGCTCAACGTCTACCGCGAAAGCAACGCGACTTTGCGAAGCGAGAATACTCGTTTGCAGAATTCGTTTGCTGAAAAGGCTAAGGCACTTGAGGCCCTTCAAAGCGAGCTTGAACCACTGCAGATTCGTGTTTCCGAACTCGAAGGAGAGCTCGAGCTCAAGGCCGGTCATCTCAAGGCTGTTGAAGAAGACCGTGACCGTTGGCAGAAGCGCCATCAGGATGTACTTCAGCGATATGACCGTATCGACCCCAAGGAACTTGAGGATCTGAAGAAACAGATCGAGGACCACAAAGCTGAGCGTGATCAAGCATTGCAGCAAGCCTCTGGACTTAACGAGCAGATTACCGATCTCACTGCTAAACTAGAGAAGGCAGTGAGTGAAAAGGACGCCGAAGTCAAGTTTGCAAGGGACAGGTTCCAGAAGATCCACAATGAGCGCATGGGCAAGAAGAACGAGGAGATGAAGGCCATTGCTGCCGAGCGAGACGAAGCCCAGAAGTCAGTTGAGAACTTGAAGCAAGAACTTGAAGGTCTCAAGCAACAGCTCGCCAATGCACAGACAGCAGGTATGGATGCTGGTCAAGCACAAGAGCGGATAGCAACACTGGATAGAGAGCTGGAGCAAGCGCGCGCGCAACTCGGAGCCGTCCAGCAAGAGCTCGAGGCAGTCAAGGCTGCTCACGACGAAGCCATCGCTCAAGCAAACGCATCCTCACAACCAACTGGAAACGCAGATGCGGGCGAAGAAGGCCAGGTCCATGAAGGGGATTCTACCGCTTTGGCACAACAAATCTCGACATTGCAAAAGCAACTCGAGGAAGCTCAACAAAAAGCCGCTGAAGCTGAGAGCAGCCGATCCGCCGCCACCGACCAGCTGTCTCACCTGCAAGCCCAATTGTCAGCTCAGATTGACAGCCTTGAGAGGCTCCAGAAGGAAACCGTGAGTTGCCCTGACTTCAATACCAAGGATCCAATACTGATGTTTCTACAGGCTGAGAAGAGCACAACTATTGATGAGCTTCGCCAGCAGTTCTCACAAGCTCAAGCTCAAGCTCAAGCTGAAGACCCACAAACTGCACCAACTGCAGTACCAGCTGAGTCTAGTGATGATTCAGTTTCGCGTGCGGAGATTGAAAAACTCAAGGAAGAGCTTGCTGCCAAGGTGCAAGAGATTGATAATCTCAAAGCACAGCTCGCCACCGCGCAATCCAACGAGCGTTCTTCAGGGGCTGATGCCAATGCGGAGACTTCTCAGGATAGCAACGAGATTGCTGCAATCAAGGCCTCGCTTGACCAGCGTGAAGCACAACTTAAGGAACTTGAGGCATCACTCAATGGTCGTGAAGGCGTCATTGCTAAGAAGGAGGGTAATCTGGAGAATCTGAGGAAGAAGGCCAACGAGCGCGTCTCAGCAATCAGAGCAGAGACTGACGCGGAGCTCGCCAGATTGAAGGGTGCTCATGAGGCCGAACTCGAACGACTACAGCAAGAGAAACAAATGGCCACTCCTAAGGAAACTTCCGAGGTGTCAACAGAGCCTTTGCCTGAAGGCATGATCCATACAGAGGATCTCCCAAGACCTAGAGTGACGGACAGCCAACTTGCTCAATGGTTCAGAACTAACACTGGGGCGCTGAGAGTTGTCAAGGCTCAAATTCAAAACAACCTCAAAAAGGCAACGACTTCTAGGGACGAGACGATTGCTAAGTTGCGTCAAGAGATTGAACAAATCCACACGCAAAAGGCTATCGACGGCATCACAGGTATGAAGCAGGAGCCAGAGCAGGCGAAGCAAGCTGCCTCGAGCGAAGATGTGAATGCAATCAACGCTACCTGGGAAGAGAAGCTCAAGGTGAAGCTGCAAGAGAAGGAGACAAGCATGAACAAGACGTACGAGATGAAGTCGAGAGTCAAAGACTCACAGCTCATGCTCGTACGAGCCAGGTTCAGCTACGTCGAGACAGCTGCAAAGGAAACACCGACCGAGGAGGTTGCAAAGGTTTATGCGATTGCAATGACTCAAAAGCCCAAGCCCGACAACAAGGCCGGCGCACAGCCAGCTACTCCGGCAAAGCCAAACCTCGCACAAGCTCAGCTTCCAAACCAGGCACCAAATGCGTCAACGCCATCACAGGCAGGTGCAACGCCGGTGCAGCAACAGCAGGCAGCGCCTTCAGTGAACAACACTCCCCAATCCAATGGGGCTGACAACAACTCTGGATTCCAAGTACCTCAACAATCGAACCCATTCCTTCAATCTGTCGGCCAGGGCAACACCATCAACCCATTCATGCAAGGCGCAAACCAAATGGGTCGGGGTCTGCCTCAACCAGGCTTTGTAGCACAAAACCAGGGTCAACAGCAACAGGGTCGCGGTCGTGGTGATGGCGTAGGAACCGGTCCACAAGCCATCCGCGGTGCCCTTCAATCTAACATTCCTCGTGGTGGCGGCACAGGCATCCCGCTACCTGGTGGTCGTGGTCGAGGCCAGCAGACGAACCAACAGCAGCCGCAAACCCAACTCCCGACCCAAGCTGCAGGTGCTTCACAGATTGGTCGTGGCGGCGGTCGAGGCGGTGGTCGCGGCCGCGGCAATACCGGCCAACAGAATCAGAACCAAGCCTCACCAGGCCGGGGACTCAACCCCGGAGCTGCCGGCTTCCAACCTGCTGGTCAGGCTGTCCAGGCCGGCCGTGGCCAGAAGCGTAATGCAGAAGATGATAGCGAAGGCGCTACACGGGGTGGAAAGAGAGCGCGAGGTGGACGTGGTGGAGCTGGCGGTGGAGCACCAGCTGCTGCTGAGTAGTAGCATCATTTGCTGCCTCATCAAGTGTACGTATACGAAGATTTAATGGGGGCGTAGAACGTACGACGCATCAACTGTCGTTTTCTTTTCCTTTTGTTTTTGCTGATTGTTTATTCTTCATCCTTCGTCTTCAGGACAGTTAATGCTTTTGTCCGTTTGCTATGTAGCAAGGAAAAAATGTGTATGTATACGGGGTATCTCCCGAATGAGAAAGAAGATGGGGGTTCTAAAATGAAAGCATAGCATAGTGCAATGTGGTATGTGTATTACTATATGGTTAGCATATTTAACGGGCGTATACAAGGACATGTTGATTCATATAACCACATCTCTATCTATATATCCAAGTGATGTTACACAACGGCAAAACTTAATAAACAACCTGCCCCTTCTTTAACGTCGTAACGCTATCCTCCGTACCAAATCCGGCCCTATACATGCCCTTGGCCGTAACCTTATCCTCTGGCTCTAGAACCCCAAACCGCAGTCTCGCCCTGAGAATCTTCTCGCCCATGGGCGTAGACCCCAGCGAATGGCCCCTCGTAAGCCGATCCAGATACCTACTCCGCGTGGCCGCCACAACCGCCGAAAAAGAACTATCATGACACACGCCATTCACCCACAGGGCCCTGAGCCCCAACAACACCGCCGCAAACGAACACGCAATCGCAGCCCCATATGCGACCCAGAGATTCCGTGGCGCATACTCATATATATTGTACAAACTCTGATACCGAACCGGCACTTCCGCCTTCTTCGCCTCGTCCGTTTCCCAAAGTCTCTCGTTACTGAAAAGACTCAGCGTCTGATTCCGCGATAACTCCTCGACTATAGCCGCGAGAGTTGTATTCGTACGCTGCGACATCCAAGCTTCCTGTGGCACGATATTGCGCAGCTCGGGGAAGTTCTGCTGGAGAAGCTCGAGAAGCGCAGTGTCGGGTATCATTGTTTTGCCAGAAAAGTAGCCGCCACCTGCGCCGCCTTCGATGTAGGTTCCGAAGAAGCCATTGAGGATGGTGGAGAGGGCTCTGAACATTTTTTGCGTTACTCTTGTATTCAGCGGTTCCAGAAACTCGTGGGAGAGGTAGGTGACAGGCTGTGTGTCTTGGGCGCCAAGGGCGCCAAAGAGCACGGTGAAATTTGTATTGTGTGTGGTGCAGGTTATGGTTTCGTTGCCCATTTGCATGAAGAAGGTAGGAGTGGTGGAGTTGGTGCCGCAGCCGCCGAAGCTCTCGCCTGCGACGCATTTGGTTACGTAGGTAGTTATGTTGCTGGAGCCTGTGAGACTGACGCCTGTGGCGTTGGCGGCGAAGGAGAGGTAGCGCATATCGGCATCGAAGGAGTTGGGTTGGCCGGCTACGATGAGGAGTTGGCGGATGGATTCTTTGCGGATGGGGATGAAGTTCTGTAGCTGGTCACCGGTTGCGGGGGTGCATTTTAGGGAGGGTGCGACCAATGAGTAGACGTAGGTTGCGTTGATGGGGAGGGTGCGGCGCATGGGGAGGATTTCCATGCTTGTGGCCGTGGCAATGGTCAAGCGGTGGAGTAAGGGTGAGGTGCCTTCACCGATACCTTCGCTTGTGTACAGTGCGGTGTCGTTGAGGTTGAGAGTTGGGACTTTTGTGGATCGCTCGGCGTAAAGCTCAGCGCCGGTTACAGTGAGAGTGGAAGGCGGAATGAGGGCAGCGAGGGGTAGACACCTATTCGATATGTTGATATTACATTTCTAAGTATAAGCTTTTGTAGTACTTACCATGCAATCAATGCCATCAGCGCCGGAATCTTTGCTCTGGTCCAGAACGAAGGGTGAAGAAAAGATAAAAGATCATGAGTAGCTGCAAAGACCGCATCGATCGTAGACACTGAATTAGCCTTGTACCGGAGGTTGATCCACATGTGTTGCTTGTACGCTACGATAATCGCACCAGCTAGTAGTGTCTTTGTGACAAACGCAAATGCCGTTCCGTATCGGATGATCCAAACTTGAGAGGTGTAGTCTTCATCTGCTCCTCGCACAGGACTACTGTCGAAGCGCAAGTAGAATAGGTGGTGGCCGATTGCCACTGCTACTCCAGAAATGAAGAGGGCAACCATCGAGATCGGCGTGTAGAGAGATATCTTCCATTCTACAGGCTGCACTATATCTTCATTGCTCTGGTGGTCGCTGGTAAAGGGTATAGCTTGTGCTGTGGAAGTCGGTTTATTCATGTGAGGATGGGAGTCGTCTTCTTCGCTGATGCTTCCCCGTGCAGGTGGGTGTCCATAGGCTTGATGACCTCCAGATGGTGTTTCGGATGGGATGTCTTCGAAAGAGAAACGGCTATCGGAATTCCTTCTGGGAACTGCAGTGTATGAGGTGGTGTTCTGCGAGGCCATTGTCGACTTTCACACGAAACCGGACAACGGAAGGCGCGAGGGGTAGGTGCGAAGTGTGCATCCAGGGTAACCTGCCGTTATGTACTGCTAGATGTATTTTAAATAGATGATAGTACAAGCCACCAAACTAGCTCTTCTTGAGCGGCTACGCTACATGTTTGAGATCGGTAACTAGCCAATCAGACATCTTCGGGCGGAAACAAGGCGCCAGCACACGGGAGTGGAGGCCTAACGGTCTTTGGGGGCCAAAATATGACGCAACACAATGCTGTCTTTCGAGTGACAGCGGTGGGTTAGAAGAGACAGAATACTGATTTTCTTCTTCTTTTTTCCAGTGTTAGTGTTAGCTAAAGAAAAACTGCGTAGATCTTATAAAAGAGAACAAGCCCAGGTAAAGCAATCTTTCGTAAGATCTAATCGTGATTGTCTTACCACATAGACGGGAGTATGAAGGCCTCAGTTTTTTTGATACCCGATTCCGGCAGGTTGGGGTGTGGCCTTCCATTCTTTTCTGAGATAATTGATTTGACACGCTATATAGCAAACAGAGATTAAAAAAAGTCAAGTCATAAACGGGAGAAAGAAACTCATGGAATTATCGCGAGGACGGGACTTACCGGCCAAAACAACTACATTTTAGATTAGCCACGATATACCAAGTGACATACTATAACTGTATATAAAGACCGAGATAATGTACCAATTGACAATGCACTGATTAGTCATACTTGGTTACGTTTTCAACACGTGCATGAATCGCTAAAGGATGGCTCAGGGCATCACGTGCTGCATTTTGTGCAGCCACATTTAGCAACAGATTTCTTTCTTCTTGTCACAGCAATTATTGAAAAACAACTATTGTTGTTGAGGCAGGTGGCCAACAAGTTCGAATGAGCAAACCTGTTTACAAGATATCTTATACTGATCGCAGCTTCAGCTGCATATTACGATCAGTCCCTAGAGGGGTTTTCATGCACGAAGAAATGCAATCTAATCAGCTCTAAGAATCCCTATGCTTATATGGGCCTGTTCGCTTCTTCGTTTTCTGTCTCCTCTTTGTGACCGTTTTGGGTTTAGAGCTTCGATAGGGAAGGGCTAGCTGTTTCTGGATCCGTTTCCCAGACGGAGCCCAGATTAGCTTTATTAGACGGAAGACGGAGGTGAATAGGCCCTCAGCCGTGCACCCGTGCTTATATGTTAAGATTCTTCGAGACTTAATTCTAGAGACTTAACTTGGAGATAAAAAGCTAGCTCTAGTGAGACGTAGAATAGTAAAACCGATCTTGTCGTTTCTGTCTGTCGAGTATTCAGATATTAGCTAGCAAAGGCGAAGAAGGGTTGTTAAGAACCTTGTGCGACCAATATTTGAGCACGTTCTTGGAGATGTCCGTATACTCGTTGCCTGTAGTATTACTCTGTACATACTTTCCCTCCCGCTCTACGACAGCCTAGATCGTTGGTAGTGGTTCAACCGCAAGGATTCTAAGTTTTCCCCCTGGTTTCACTGAAAGTAACGGCATTGGTAAGAATCAAAGTTTCCGAGTAGTTAAGGGTAAGAGCGGCATCAGATCGCACCAGAAATTTCTCTAGGTAAAGCCATTTGTGTGAGCCGTAGCGGAATGCCGGCATCTGTCCACATGGCTGCTGTATCCGTCTCTTGATACAATAGGCTCTATGGAGAGAAAGAGAAGTAAGCCGGAAACTTTGTGTGTCGTAGATGACGACATGTCTCAGTTGGAAGAAATAAGCAGAGTAAGCACGCGCCGAGGCGAGCGGGCCTTCCTGACGGCTCTGTGAGCGCTAGCAAAAGAATTCGGAATAAATGTCGGTAACGCTCATCAATCATTCTAGTATAGGCCAGTCTTTAGAAGATCGACATGGCACGTGTTGGCTTCCAAATACTACTGGAAAAATCGAGTTCATTACTAGCCCTTTCAACAGCTTAACATGAACCTTCATCTTAAAGTGACTTACGTTAATTAAAGAGCAACGTACATGGCAAGCGAGAGCGGCTTACCCCTTGAAATATCTTTTTTTTTGGAAAAAAAAACCAAGAAAACTGCTATACTGCTACAGTACTCTAAACTGAATCCCAAGAAGGCCAACCGTTAGGGATCCGTCGGGTGTCCCTTGGGTTAGAGAAGTTACAGTCACGTTTATGAAGTATATAATCACATCTAAACTTAAGTGACTTCTCAATGTTTCATCTTAAAGCTAGAGGAAAAGAAGAACGAGGTGACGCCCAGCCATACAACGTACTCAATCTCAATCTCTCTAGATTTATATCCAAATACGCTACATACTATACGCTATATATGTACTTGACAAACCACTAAACACATGCAGCGCTAGATAAGGTCAAGTAGAAAGGTACATTAGACTATAATCCAACCATCCTTTTCGTAAGAACAATAGATAAATCTACATTATACTAGATTGCGAAATAGACATAAGTAATCTCAAGTATTGGTGAAACGCTAGTTGAACCAAAAGCTCACGCTAAAACTGGGTGTAAGGCTCCGAACATAATGCCACCATCCCACAGGAAGATACAAGCACTCCCCCGGACCCAGGATCTCCTCTACATACGCTGCATCTTCAAAGCCTGGGAAGCACTCTTGGAACTCTCTCTTCCTGGATTCATCCAGTGTGACTTCAAAACCCCCCGTCACAGGGCTCTTAAAACAAGATATCTCCGGAAACAACTCCATCGCTTCATCCAGATCGATTTGACTGGTATTGCTCATATCAACACCGCATTCATCTACGCTCCTTGGATGCAGATGCTTCGTTTCTTGCGGGGCGTAGAGGCGCACGTACTTGTATCCTACTACTTGTGCTAGGATGTTGTGATAGGGATCCGTGTGTAATGGGGAGACGGTACCCTCAGGCCCGAACCAAGCATTGAGCAGCGGTTCTTCTAGTTTAGCGACGGGCTTGATGTGCGTGAGGTGAGGTGATGGGGCGGGGTCGCAGAAGCAGTAGTCGGGGATGCTGATGTCTAGGCGTAGAGAGGGGATTTGCGCGAAGAGATCGTGTTGAGCGAGGTAGCCTACTGATTTTACGTTCTCGTCTTGTGGTGGTTGTGAAGTGTTGTTCGGGTTGGCCTCGCTCACATTGTGTAGCATGTACGTTTCCATGAACTCACGGAAAGTGATGATGCATTGACCCCAGCCTTCGGCGGTGTAACTTTTCCCTACCTCCACTGGTATTAATCTTCTTCCACCGAGGGTCTGTCTCAGCAAGTACCCTGGATTCGCCCATGGTCTCTCGTTGAGTGCAGGCCAATGTTGTATTGCATCCTCGATTATACAGGGTGTGTGGGTTTCTGTTGAGCCAGCTTTCCTTTGAAAAGCTTCTAGACTCAGTTCTTTCGTTCGTTGTAAAGGATATGTAAGGACTGGTTCAGGGTTGGGGAGCTCTTCAGGAAACCTTTCTGGGATTGGTGAGGATCGACAGGGCAAGGATAGCTTTTGTCGCTTTGAGGGGCGTTCCGGGTTTGCAACGTCTGCTTGTCGCTCTAGATCCAAAACAGTTTTTAATGCTGCAAACCATAGTTCCATCAGCTCTTCTCTTGCAGGTGCACCAGCAAGTATGAGGGCCATATCTAACGATTTCACAACCTCATCGATCCAGTCGCTCGCTGTCGTGCCTTGCTGCTGTTCCTCTGTTCCGCTATCTATTCGCTTTAGCACCCTCCACAGAGTTGCGTCTGTATATAGTCTCCGCCAACAAGTCTTTACTTCTTTGTAAGGAACATCGTGCAGTTTCTGGTACGCAAGCTTCAAGCCGAGCTCAGGGTTCTCGGGAAGAAGTGCGAGTGCAGCACGTCCACATTCGCGGATGGGGTCAGTCTTTTGCGGGGTAACAAGTTCCTGACGGGTTAGTTGGATTATCTCTTGGAGCGTAGGCGCATCATTGTTCATTTCTGATGAAGCGCAGCACAGTTTCAGACGACAATGGTACAGTGAGTGATTGTGGAAAGCTAGTATTGCTAGTGGCACGAGCTTAGGCCATTACTACTTTTTCCGTGCCGTTGACGAGCCAAGACATGGCCAAAATACCCGAACGCTACCCGGGCGTTAAAGTTTATTAGGCGGCGTTTAGAGTTGAACCCTGGCTTCGGTAATCGTCGTGGATTTTGCGCCTTAGCGCAGACCCATGTCGTGTCACAAGTATAGCATGCTGCAGGTATGGAGACTAAAGTGCCGAAGATGCATATTAAATCCATTTATAGGCCAGCAGGCTGCCAGCTTGATGCAACTCGCAGCAGTGACTATGTGATACGATTATTGTACACGAGCCTTGTGACTCCCCTCCAACCCGAGACCCCACTCGTAGTCCATTCCTGACACACGAGGTAGCGCCTGTGAGGCCGTCATAACCCATCAATCGTAGACCCATAAACACCAGTCCGAGTAAGAGGGATATCGAACATGTGGAAAAAAAAGAGACCTTCAAGCAGTCATGGAAACGCAAAAGCAATGTGCAGGCTATGCAAATGAAAAGGCCGCTGAGGCCGGGGTATCAAACAAGAGGAACATTAAGGATAAGAGAAATGGAGGTCATCACCCAAGCAGCCCACCGGCGTCCTGCAACGCAGGCGCGTCACGGCTGTGATTTGTAGGGGTGCGCTGAAGGGACGTAGCAGAGGGTACGGATAAAAGCAAGCCTCCAGGGTCTTGTAGAGAAGGCACATCATAGCTTGTTCGTGTTGAGCGTGTCGATGTGCGGTGTATAGGCGCGTACCGAGGAGCCACCGAAGGGCTGGGGGTTGAAGTTGGAGTGGACGGTGATTCTTCTTGCTCACGGTGTCCAGGCAGCAGACCACCCAGATCCTGCAGCTGTTGGTTCGGCCGGCATGACATTTCGAGGTCTTCGGAATGCTGTGAGAGCCGGGAGTTTCGTCGACCTTGTGGAAGAAACGCGCGCCCGGCCGACATGATTGAGTTTGAAGCTCGGGAGCCTCTTCTGGGTTGCGTCGCGAAATCGTGAGCAACCACAGAGTCTGTGGGCGAAGGGGTTACTCCTGGTTGTTCCAGTAGACCACCCACATCAAACCAGGATACCCGTCTGCCGCCGCGGGGACTGGGCATTGGGTCCCGGATGTCGTCAACCTCTGAGTGCGAGGGGTCCTCACCATGTGATACACTTCCCTCTTCGTCTGGAAATTTCCAGTTGTTGTTTGCAAAAGGGCCAGACTGCCTTGCAGGCTGCAAGAGGTCGAGGTTCGCCACTGGAGCTGGTCTGGGTACGCTTGGCGTTTTCTCCAAGAGCTCGGGCTTGGTCCTATAACCCAGTGATCGTGCAAGGTCTTCATCGCTGCTGCGGGGCTGGTCTGTAAAGCGGCGCGATGACCCTCTACGCTCGGCGCTGTCAGTAGTCGAGGGCGCCTTGAATTTTGGTTTCTTGACACCTCGATCGCGAAGGAATGACCCTAGGATGATTGCGTTGGACACGATGGCGGCAGCCAGGATTTCGGAAGAGGCAAAAACAGTACGGAATTGCTGAAGGCCCTTCTTTTCAATGACTAGAGGCATGCGAGCCCCGGTGACGATGATGAGACCAAGTGATAGAGAGAACAGTGCCACTAGGGAGACCTTGCGCCTCAAGGGCATGCCTGAGCGAATAATGATTGGAATCGGAAAGGCAATCAGGAGAATGTCGGTGACGATATCAGCAATGCCCATGGTGAGGAGTTGAGCATAACCCTGGCGACACTGCGGACCCGGATCGGGAACGACTTGCCAGTAGTGAGTGACTGGACGACACTCAGTAAAGGTAGCAACTAAAACCATGAAAAAGGTAACGACGAGGAATATGCGAATACCGCGCAGTCCCCATTCGTATCCTTTTTTCCAGAAGCGTTCTGTCAAGCGCTTGAGGAACTCTGAAACGGTGAACTTGGCTAACCAGATGCTACAGAGGCATTAGCTATGCTATGGATGGAAAAGGTGGCTACACGTACAACAGCGCATAGAAGATCCTCGCTGCAAGGACCATGCGCGAACCAATCTCTCGATGGTGAATTCTAACTGGGTCTGTCAAGCCGGTAACATCGACATTGTTTGTGCCGTAGATCAAGACAACGTGCACAAAGCCCATGCGCGCAAAGAGGGGAAAGATGCTGAGCGCCATGACCTTGTCTTCGCGGAACAGGCATTCATTGCGAATGTAGCGGCCGAACAGGCGGACGCCTATGATGACAGCGGAGAAAATGGTGCACCACCAGCTGTACAAGAGCGTGGGATTGTTGGTCAGGCGAGTCCGGGGCTCTGGGGCAGAAGGGCTGTACAAATTGCGCTGTATTATCATGATGATGTGGAGCAGTCCTCACAGACTCTCGCCTCCGCAGAGGGGGAGCTGTTTGGAGGTCGCGTGCTCAGTATCGATTGTGGGCGAGAGCGATGGCGGTGACGGATGCGGGAGTGTGGGCTAAAAGCGCATTGACCATTTCGGTATTGGGGTGACGTTGGTGTAGTACCGAGGTCCCGGGAGCGCGGAGTGGGTATGTTGCGAGTGAGAGAGAGTGTATGTGTGCCAGGCCAAAGGCGGCGGTTGGGCAATTGTCGAAGACGTTGGCCACGGGCAGCAGAATGGAAGGCGAGGATGAAGAGGAAGGAGAGGCAGCAGCAGAAGAGCGGCAGGTGACGGGGCTGAGGGTCGGAGGTGTGCGTGATAACCCAAGCAGGCGCAGTGCGAGTGAGTGGGTCGTTATCGCAACGGCAGAACTTGGCCAGGATTCGGAGGCACGCCACAAAATCACTACAGCCCGCGTCTGTGGTTGAGAGCGCGCACACTGCCTGATGCCGTGCGCTGCCAATGTTCCCCCCACCGAGTTTGGATCCAGATCCCGGTGAGTGCTGATAGGTATGGGTTTGGCGTGTCGGGGATCAGTAGGATGGCATGGCACGAGAGAGGCTGGGAGCGGGTTGGGACGTTGTTGGTGCAGTCAGCGGCCGTCTTGTCTCGTGTCGTGTCCGGGTTTTGTCGTGTGGTCGAGTTGGCCCGAAGTCAAGGGCAATGGTGTCGGTCGTTTATATCACATCACCCCGGAGGCCACCTGCATGGTGCTACTGCTACTGCTACTGGGTGTGAGGAGCGCGCCATGGCGCTTGTAGGCTCCGTCTGCAGACAATGCAGATAGACGACTGGGGCAGGTTGACGTGGAGGCGGGGGGTCAAACACGCCTCCGGCCTGGAGACAGCGGCCGGTGACGGGTTGGGGGCTCGATGGAGTATTGGCTCTCAGGCGCGGCGGCCGCAGCGCCAGTTGGGATACTCACAGCTACCTACATTGGCGGCACGGAGGCTTGGGAGAGAGCTGGACCAAGACAAGATCCGAGGGCCAGGATCGGGGCCAGCCGGGCGGTTGGATGGCTGAGGGTGAAAGTGCGCATTATCGCATCAGGGAGTCGTGTTGTCATTGCGGGCTGGCTATCCTACGCGTGGCGCATTTGCGCAGAGAGCCGGGAGGCCAACGGCGACGGCGACGGCGGTGGCTGCGGCGAAGGCGCTTGTGCTTGTGCTTGTGCGTGAGGCCCCTCGTTTACCCCCCCACCCAACCTCCATCGCTGGGCAGTCGCGTGGGAAGGGCTGCCCTGTGCGCCTGCCTGATGCGAGACTGAGACCCTGACTGAACTGAACTCCTTCCTGCCCCGGCGTGGGCCTTCTGTCGGCTGTAATAATCGCCCGAGCCAAGTAAGAGAATACCACCGACGATGGAATACATAAAGTCGATGAACCGTGATCGGAGTGGCGGGGACCGAATCTCGCTGTGTCTCTTTCACGAGCTCTTGGGGTGCTTGGAGAACCCCGCGCGAGTTGGCAGTGTTGATGGTTCAGGGTGAGTTCCCCTGAGTGTGAGTGCTGTTGTGCTTCTCTATCCGCACCTTCCTCTCACAGACGATTGGGATTGCTGTGGTTGCTGTCGACGTATCAGCGACCATACCGGCAGCCATGGCCAGGCGGGGGTTTGCTGTCGGATGAGGAGATAAGTTGCCCAAAACCCCTCAGCATGTTAGCACTATGTAACTATGCCCATGTACTAAGTATACATACATATAGTACATACATGTGTACATGTACTATGTATACATAAGCACCGGACATGCAAAGCAGGTGACAGGCGAGATGGTGATCTACGCAGGGGGACGTGCACCTCGTACCTGATGGAGGAAACCACGAGCGGGCACAATCCACGCGTACTTGCCAAATCACGCCCAAACACGAACAGTACACATACACACACCTAAGGTATCCGGCCCAAGATCAGGCGTGCAGCAGAATCTATTTGAATAGCGTCATGTGTGCAAAATATGCCATGGCGTCATGTGAAGACATACTTGGCCGTACTGCTAGAGCGTTGGGCCCGTCTTTCACATGTGAAACCGTCTATGCTTGCACTTGGGACTGGCACGTGAGCACCTTCCGTCACTCGCCCACAAGCAAACAGCAGCAAGCACTGCCAATGCGACTGCAGACAGCGCGTGCGGCTGGCACTTTGCAATGGCAATGACGAATGGCCTGCAGAATGAAACCTGTAGCTGCTTGAGGTACGTCGTCCAGGCCCGCGGAAACAAATCACAGCAAGCCCAGCAAGTTCCATGTGGAGCCATATGACGTTGGAGTGAACGCCCACCAAACTGTGCACACGACAGCCTCAGAACAAAACCAACCCAGCTCCTCCGCAATCTCTCCTTTTCTCCTCAAACCCCCTTTCGACCTTTTCCCCCCCTTCTGCAATTAATACCTGCCTGAAACTGCAAATACTCCCCCAAGCAATGTCCGGAGAAGCCCCACGTGTGGAACTCAACAGCACAGATCTCGATTTTGACCTTACCGCGCCCGTCAACCAGAAGCTGTCTCAGATGAACTCTGAAGCTGCCCCGCTGCCCAACGGCAATGCAGACCACCACCTGCCCAACGGTGCGGTCCAGACAAATGGCTCTCTCCTAGATTGTAGGGTGAGTGGCACAGAATGACCTCGACCATTTGCCGAGACGCAAGCTAACGCCATACATCACAGTCTTATCTGCGGCCCGCACCACATCCGAATTCCTAACCTGACACACACACACACACAGCTGCCTCAAACGCCATCAACGCCGCAAACAACCACTCCAGCGTGCAGAACATCAAAAACACCGTCATGAACGGTAAGGTACGTACATTTGCCCCGCACTTTTGCTTTGCACAACCAGCTCACACCCCATGCAGTTTCCGAAAGTGCCCGCACGCACACGACCAGTAGCTAAATTCCACAGGACCCGTTGCACAGAACGTCAAGGCAGAGGGCGCAAAGACCCGCGATGAGTTCGCCGATCTTGCAAACTCAAAGACCATTCCCGATGAGAAGACGGCGACTGGTCAGAACCTCACTCGTAAGTCCAAGACAAGCCCTCGGTGCAACCGCACAGCTAACCACGGCCAGATTACCACAGCATGTTCTACCGCCTCCTGAGCTGGAAGAACCCCCGCGCTACCGGCATCGCCTTTGCCAGTACCGTTGTCTTCATCTTTGCCGCCCGCTACCTGAACCTGATCCGCTACATCTTCAAGACTTCATACTTGGTTCTTGGTGCTACTGCTACTGCCGAGATCGCGGGGCAGCTCACTATCGGACGTGGCCTCACCTCTCAGTTTAGGCCACGACAGTACTTCACGATTCCAAAGGCCTCGCTCGAGCGCCTGACGGATGATTTCGAGCAGCTTATCAACTTCTTCGTCATCGAGTCCCAGCGTATCGTTTTCGCCGAGAACGTCTACGTCACCGTTGCTGTAAGTAGAGCTCTTGAACTGCCGCTGCACATGCAACATGTTGTGACTGACTTGTCCCTACTAGGCCTTTTTTGCATCCCTCATCTCGTACTTCCTGATCAAGTGGGTTCCTCTCTGGGGCTTGGGTTTGATCGCGACGCACATTGCCTTCCTCGGCCCCCTCATCTACATCAAGAACAAGGACGCCATCGACGCTCAGTTGGAGAAGGGCTACACCATTGCCAACCAGCAGGCTCAGCAGGTCAAGGGTCTCGCCAACCAGCATGCTGGAAACGCCATGAAGACTGTGCAAGGCTACACACAGCAGGCTACCGCCAAGGCCCAAGAGACTGTCAACCAGTACCGTGGGCGTTCCACTTCGCCAGAGGTCAAGAAGCAGACTCTGCCCAATGTCCCCAAGCACGAGCCCATTGCCGAGTCATCTTCTGAGGAAGAAGACGAGGACGACGAGCCAGTCGCACAGGCTGCTAAGTAAGCTATTCCCTTGCGACCATCTTACACTGAGCGCCTTGCGCGCTGCGTGTCTACCTCGAAATCGTTTGCGCATCCAACCTTTGAACATGCTACGGCTACCCTCTCGCACGCACTCACCGTTTGAGTGACTGCGGACGAAATACGGACGGTGCCAGCTTCGACATTTGAGAAGCCCGGAAATTGGAAACAACGCTGGCCGCTGTGCATGCCCTTTCTCAAGAGCCTTTGTTTTTCATGTTTCTAGTCTAGCGTGTCAAGTATTCCCTCTGCATTCACCAGCTTTTGTTTTCACGGCCTTGTTTCTTGTGGGTGGGATTTGGGCATGATAATCATGGCAACATGGGAGTTTTAATCAAAATTGTCTTTTAGTGATTGTCGTATGACCAAAGTGGTGTGAATTATGCGTGACGGTATTCGGACTTTTGGTGGTGAAGATGTGTCTGATGCCCCGCTTAATAGTCGTAATGCCTGAATGGAAGTATCGGAACGCATGTAGTGCTGACGTTGTCTCAAACATGGCCTTGATGCAGACGCGCAATATATGCCTGAGCAGAAGTTGTACCTGTCGTTTTAAATATTTTCCTCGAAGAACACCCATGCGGCGTGGATCAGGAGAATGTATGCAGACTTGTCTCGCACAATCCATAGCCTGTGCCAAGTAGTAGATATATCTGGGTGTATGTAGTATGTCCTTAGGTGGAGAGTGATTGATCGGCGGCCAAGTGGAACCTGGCCAGTGCACGAGGCCACCGATTTGTTGCGTCAGTTTCAGCACAGCCACTTGGCTTGGGGCCGCTTCGCCTCCTCCTTGTTACGCTGCCGCCTATTCCAGCGCTGACCTTGAAGACCAACAACATCCCCCGCCCGTAAGCTGGTCGACCTATTCTCTCTTTTGTACCTTGTCTTCTTTCACCTACTCTGACTGTTATTTCTGGACCAAGAAGTTTTTGTTACTACTGGCATCTTGGCATAGTGAGCAGCTACCATGACTATGCTCGTTGAGCTCACTCGTCGCGCCGTCTCGCACCCGCAGACGGCGACATTTGTCAAGCGCGCTGTGGCTATCAAGCATGGCAACGGAGAGGAAGTCGAGCTTCCTACCTGGGGCATCGTAGTCGTCTATCTGACCGTCTTGGTTGGTAGCGTTGCGTTCAGCCTTGTGAGTACTCCCCTGTTCAGCCTTGTACTGTTGAGGCCATGGATTAACACTGCACTCCTAGGTATCCTACATGCTGAACCATGTCATCACGTCTCTCAGCATGGTCGAGTCCCCCATGGCCGCCATCACCGTGACGCCCTCAGCCCAAGAGCCTTCCGCCAAAGAAGGCGAGAAAGAGACACTCCTTGAAACCGGCCCTACGATTGCCCTCGTCAACCAGAAGCCCATCACCTCCTCCATCCGCGCCACCATCCGCCACCTGGTCGCCAACGCCGGCCGCTTCGCGCGCTTCAGGGGATACAGAATTCACATTGTGTACTCGCTCCTCAACAGCCTCGTCTTCACCTTCTTCAACGGCGCCCTCGATTTCCTCCCTGGCCAAGCCATCCTCAGCGCCGCCTTCTCCGGCGCCCTTCTCGCTCGCATCCACGCCGTATGGACGCACAAGGTCGTCGGCATGCCCACTGAACAGTCGTTCTGCCAGCGCATCCCCAACAAAAGCCACTGGAAGACACTGGCCCTCCCTGCTGCTATTGCCTCCGCTATGCCATACATCAGCATGTACCTTACCGCTGGCTTGGTCATGCTGCTCGGCTTTGACGACATGGAACCCGTAACTACCTGTGCGCAGAAGATGGGCGTCATCGCGCGTGTCCTTGGTGTTGCCATCTTCGCCATCACCTGCACGCTTTTCCTCTGTCTCCCTGCTCTCGTCACCCGCGTTCGCATCGAAGCTTCCATCCTCCCCGACGACCAGGATGCGATCGTCCCCTTTGATCGCACTTTTGGCGGCAAGGTTGTCAGCAAGATGATGGGTGGCTCTGGTGTTGTGGGGTTCCTAGATGCCTGGAAGTCATTCAACTGGGAGGCTCGTCGCCGCCTTATCAAGCTTTACATCAAGAACTTTTTTATCCTCACGGGTATGCTCCTGGTCTTTTTCCACATTGTGGCTTTTGAGACTTTTGCTATCATGGGACCTGCGGTTGGAAAGCTTATGGCGCAGATGAAGCATGATGGTATGGACGGAGGTGTGTAAGGGGTGGAAGCGATATTAGAGGAAGAGTATTTTTTGGAATCAGAATGCATATGATTGGGACAGTGGTGTTAGGTTGAGAGGTGTAGGATTACAGAGTACTCATTTTCGTTCCCCCCCCCCCCCTTTTTTTCCGCTTCTTTACGCACATGAACATTCATAGAAAACATAAATGTCGAAAATACCAATATATAGATGAATGAGATATAGTCACATCTAGTCTTGCTACACATATTGTGCTCTTTTTCATCTTTTTTTATTTTTGTTTTGTCTTTTTTTAGTTAATAACGTACTATCCATTTCGTCACCTAGCAATCCATCTACACATCGCCATCCCCATGACCCATATCCTCCCCCTTCCTCCAAAACCCGATGTGGAAGCCCCCAAAAAAGAGAAATGAGAGATAACACGCTTGCTGTATGAATGAAGCAAAATCAAACCAAAAAAAACAGCTGCATGTGAGAGCACATGGCCACTTTGCCGAACAGGGAAATAGAAAAAGAGACATGCGAAGAATGGATGGAAAAAGAGGAGGGAAAAAAACTTTCTATGCAAACGCCGTACGCTATGCCCCCCAGTTTGCAAAAATACGGATTTCCAGTTATGGGGGAAAAAAAGATAATGGAAAGATGCGCAGAACAAGAACAAGGGAGGGGTAGAAACCTATAATGAAGGATAATACGTATTGAAGACTTCGGTTCCTTTTTTCGCCTTTTTCGCTTTTCCCCATCATCATAACCTTTTCTTTCCCTTTTCAAAACGCCCTTGTTTTTTTGTGTGTTTCTCTGTCCCTTGGTTCGGCTTTTTTTTCTCTCTCTTTCTCTCTTCTCCCTTCGTATTTGAAAAAGAGAGAAAGGGTACGCCAGAATGCTGTACAAAAAAAACGTCCAAGGAAGGAGAAAGACAAAGGCAGACTTTTGGCTTCGAGGGGGATATATTGTATGGAGACGGGGGGTTCCCTAGTCCATAGTTCGCGCTTGTTGATGCTTTCATAGTCAACGCCAAAATGCGTTGGGGGCGAGTATGATTCGCCTAGAATGGGAAGAGAGGAAAAGAGGGTACCGAGCGCTGCTCTGCTCCCATTCAGTGTATGAGGATGCACCCTCACGTTCCGTACTCAGCAGGTAACAATGAGTTTTGCTTGTGTCATTTCTCATCCTCCTCTCGTCAACCTATCGACACACTCTTCGCATGTTCATGCATCTTAACAGCCTTTTGCACTTCGTCTTGCTCCTTGACCACTGCAACTCCCACATTGATACCTCGTGACTTCTCACTGGTGCTATCTGTGTTGAGAATGGCATTCGCCTCGGCAAGTCGCAGTCTCTCTTTTTCGGTTTCTAGTTCTAAATTCGCCTTGTCCTGTCCAGTCACCACTCCCTTGAGAATGACTTCGAGATCGGCTAGGCGGACGGGTTTGATGAGGAAGAGATTGATGCCGCTAGAGTTTGCTTCTTGTTGTATGTCGGTGTCTGCTACACCGGTAAGGGCGATGATTGTGACCTTGGGAAGGTTGTGGCGGATTTCATGGGCGCGGATTTGGCGGGTTGCTTCGAGTCCGTCCATGACGGGCATATTGATATCCATAAGTACAACGTCAATACGGGACTCATCTTCGTTGTTGGCGGCTATGTAGGCTTCGAGTGCCTCCAGACCATCGACTGCGAGAGTGTGCTCATGGCCGAGCTTGTTGACAAATGTGCGGAGGAGGCGAAGATTGATGGGATTGTCGTCGACGCAAAGACACCGCAGGGCCCGAGTTGGCTTCAAATATTTTGACGGCTTGATAGGACTGTTGTTAACCGACCGTATCTCCGGAGCACTGCTAGCGCTGGTGAGCTGTGGTCGACCTGGTTCTATGACGTGCAACAAATCAGTGCGTTTGGGGAGCCTGTCCTCCTTGAGCTGGAAATCAGTGACCTGAGGCAGGGCTGGATCACTGTTCGTTTTTTGTACATTTATTTGCTTGGTGTGACGACCAAGACATGACGAGAGGGCTTTTGCCATCTTGTGCGGGCCTACTGGCTGACTGATGCATTCGAAAATCATGCCTGGGACTGTAATGGCTGTGGTTGACTGTGCAGCTGCGGCACCTTGGCACACAACAATGACTGGCGTTGCAATTGTCTTGCTAGGACACTGGCTGTACTGCGTGCGCAAAGTCTTTGCACAGCTTTCAGTGGCAATAATCATATCCGGTTCCCCAGTGCTGACACCTTGTTCGAAGCGTTCCATGCCGAACCAGTCGGCACAGAGGCTAACCAATGCCTTCAAACACAGCTTGGAAGCGTTCTTGTTCTTCAGGTCCTTGACGAAATACTCCTCTGCTTCATTAAAACCATCAAAGCGCACTGTCAAGCCTTTTGTGCGCTTGGAAACTTCCTGCAAGTTCATATCCTTTTCACAGTCTGGGGCAGTGGCGCCAAAACTTGGAGACATGCGTGACTCTTTCAGAGGACACGTGACTGTGAATTTTGTACCGCGATCCTTCTCACTCCGTACCTCGACATCGCCTCCAAGAGACTCTACAATTTGCTTGACAATTGAAAGACCCAAGCCGGTACCCTGGCTTAGAGGATTCTCCTGAGCAAAAGAGTGAAAGAGTCTGTTGTTGATGTAATCCTCAGACATGCCAATGCCAGAATCGGTGACCGAGAACTTGAACTCGCAAGTCTCATCCTCGTCTTGAAACTTCCGCTTGACCTCGAGCTTTACCTTGATGTAACCGCCAGGCGTATACTTGAGGCTGTTTCCAAACAAATTCATGATTACACGTCGCCACGCTCCAGGCTGGGTGCGGAAGACGTAATTGTCGCTATGATTGATGTCGAGGATGATGGAGATTGGCCGACTATTGACCTTGGATGCGGTGAGCTCGTATGTCTGAGCCGATGTCTTCGCATACGTGTAACCAGCAAAGACGCTCTCAACCACATCCTCTGTTAGTATGCTCATATCAACATCATTGATAAGCGTCATGATATCATTGGTGTGAGCTCTGCCAGGACTAATAATGTGCTTGGCACTCTGAGTGCGTTTCTTTTGTCGTTTTGAGACGCCGCGTGTCAAGTTGTTAATTTTTGCAAAGTCGAGGACCTTTATGTGGTCAGCGTTAAAGTGAAAGCGCCAAAGACATTGAACTTACGTGGTTGATAGTCTCTAACAGAGTCTTGCCACAAGTCTCAATTGTCGCAACGTGTGATACCTGCTGGTTGTCTAGAGAAGAGTCTTTGAGAAGATCGGTCATTCCAAGTATGCCATGCTAGAGGAATGCAATTAGCTTGACTGTCGTAATGATTTATTAGTGCTGAGTACTTACCAATGGAGAACGAAGCTCATGACTGATAGAAGAGATAAAATCAGCCTTTGCAGCGTCTGCTAGCTTTGTATCTAGACGAGCAACCTCGGCCATGACAAAGTTACTGAATGCTGCTAGATAGCTTAGCTCCTGCTCAGTCGTGAAGATGCGCTTGGGCTCGGAGCTCCATATCACCGCCGTCGCAAACCATCGCTCACGGTGCGGGTCCCACAAGGGGTACAGAATGAGACTTCGCGCAGTAGGAAAGACTCTTCGCAGGTATGCCTCGTCATCCAAATTTCTCGATGACTCGGCTTTGCGGGGGGTACCAAAGGGGAATCCATCAGAAGACTCAAACTCGTCCAAGCCAGTCGAAGGAGAATTAACAGACGGGGTCAAGGGGTCCACGTCAAGATGGAAAATCTGGCCATGTGGATAGACGCGGAGCAAGTGTCGCAAAACGCTTTCGGAGATGCATTCGCCCGTGTTTGGCAAGGATTTGTTATCGCGATCAGTCTTGCAGAGAGCGGCGCCGAGAATGTCGCAGGGCTTGTCCGGTTCAGGAAGCTGATCCGGATCGAAGTCATCGTCAACCAGACCGCCGAAAGTACTGATCTTGGCATCGAAGAAGGCCACACCCTCTGCCTCTGTTGAGTCGACAATCATGTTGGCAGCGCGCGTGAAATGTGCCCTCAGCTCCGGAGCAGCCCTGTCCTTCTGATCGGGCTTGGGGAAGTCCTTGGTGGAGGTGCATGATGTTGTGGCGGTAATGTCGGGTCGGACGGGCTCAACGACTTGACTGGGTTCCAAGGTAGTAAGCTTACTGGTGGGTGAACTTGGCGTGTGTGGTAGCTGGTGGGTAGGCGGCACATTGTTGCTTGTAGGGCTGCGGGAATCGATGTCAATGTGACTGTGGCCATTAAGTACAGGTGGCTCCTGCCCTGTGGGTGTAGTAGCGGCAGGACGCTGGCGCTGGGAGGCGATTATCTCCGTCTGGTCAGGCCAGGACTCGGAGGGATCATTGTCCCACGGATCCTGGGCCCAGTTCTCTAGCCCGCTCTTCCCTTCGGCGAACGAACCCAGACTTTTGACCATGATCTTGGCCCTACGATGGTCTTCGGCCGCCCTCGTTCTCTCCATATGGCGCATGACGGTGCCGGCCATGCTCTTGAGAAAGGCCAGTTGGTGGGGCGTCAATCCATCGCGCGGCTTCTCGTCGAGGACGCAATAGGTGCCAATGCTATGGCCCGTAGGACTGCGAATGGGGACGCCGGCATAGAAGCGCGAATAGGGCGGGCCCTTGACAAAAGGATAGTCGCAGAAGCGCTTATCCTTGCTCAGGTCGTTTACGACGAGCGAGGGCAGGTCACTGGGGTCGTCGAAGGGCAGCGTCGTATACTTTGGGGCAAGATTAACGGTGTAGTTGCACAGGCTCTGCTCCTTGGGGAAGATGGTGGTGCCAAAGCAGAGGCGGTCGTCGTCAAACTCGGGCTCGCCCGTGTCGAGAGACAGGGTTTTGGTTGCTTCGGCGAGGAGGAAGCAGTCCTTGCGGTCGAAGAAGGAAATGAGGCAGCGGCGGGCATTCAGGCGCAGCGCCCCCAGCTGGGCAAAGGCCGTGAGGGCCTTATCGTCGGAGACGCGGGGGGCATAGTCGAGCGTAGGCGGCGGGGTGCTTGGGGGCGTCTGTGATTGCGAGGCGGGCGAGGGCGCTGGTGAAGGCGACGACTGGCGACTGGCGGGGCCGTCAGTGTGCGGGCGCTGGAAGCCCGGGCGGGGATAGTAGCTGGGCGGGCAAGATCAGTGCCAATTCACTCTTTCACATGCACCAAACCCGGGCACGCACGTCGTAGGCAATGGGGGCGTGGACGAACCGGTAGAAGGCCTTTTCGCGCTCCTTGGCCAGCTCGCTATGGTCGATGCGCCTGCGCCGACGGGCGTGGGAGCGGGCGAGGGCCTGGTCGTGGGAGTCCGACATTTGGGGGGGGGGTTGTCGAAGTAGAGGAGAGGGCCAGGACGACCAGAGGTTTTTGTGGAGAAGGGGCTTGTCCTACCCATGTGCTGCAAGCCACCCATCTGCGCGCTAGGCCTGACGATTCCCTGGGCCGTTGGGCGCTGCTTTGGACCCTGACACTCTCTGCTGCCTCGCCTGCCTCGCCCCACTACCGCCCTCGCCTACCCCTCCACCACCATCACCACCACCACCACCAATACAACCACCACCAGCCTCGCTTCGCCTCACCGGACTACCGCATTAGTCCACGCGTACTAATACTCCCACTACTCTACCGCTACTCTACCGCTACGATTGCTGCTAACTCATCCGTCCGACTAACTCTCCCCCTCACCTCCTCTCCCCCTCCTTGCCACCTTATCAGTTTCCCTCCCCCTTAGGCCGCCGTCGCCGTTGCTGATCCCGCACTATGGGCCGCCTCGTCAAGCTAGCCACCTGCTCCCTCAACCAATGGGCCGTATGTCTCGTGACCCCCCGTCGACGCGGCTGCACTAACGCGCCCAGCTGGACTGGGAGGGCAACATGGAGCGCATCAAGCAGAGCATCCGTGTTGCCAAACAAAATGGCTGCACCTACCGCGCCGGCTCGGAACTCGAGGTGTGCGGCTATGGCCTGCTCGACCACTTCCTCGAGCACGATAGTATCCGCCACAGCTGGGAGCAGCTGAGTCTCCTGTTGCTCGATAGATCGCTCGACGACATTATTATCGATGTCGGCATGCCAGTCCGCCAGTCAGGCAACCTGTACAATGCCAGAGTCATCATCCTGTCCGGCCGCATTCTCCTCATCCGCCCAAAGATGAGCCTGGCTGCGGGCGGCAATTATCGCGAAGGCCGCTACTTCATCCCTTGGAACCGTCCTCAGCAGGTTGAGCAGTACGAACTCCTTGAGCTCTCGCAAGAGGCCTTGGCGCTGCAGGACAGCCACTTTGTTCCTTTTGGTGATGGTATCATCAATGCTCTCGACTGCAAGCTGGGATACGAGACGTGCGAGGAGCTCTTCACTCCCATGAGCCCTCACATTGCTTTGTCCCTGGCAGGCTGCGACATCATTATCAACAGTTCTGGCTCCCACCATGAACTCCGCAAGCTCGACACTCGCATTGACCTAATCAGAGAAGCCACGGCCAAGTGTGGTGGTGGCTATCTTTATGCCAACCAGCAGGGCTGTGACGGCGACCGTCTCTACTATGACGGCTGCGCCATGGTTCTCGTCAATGGTACCATTCGCGCACAAGGGTCACAATTTTCACTGCAAGACGTCGAGGTTGTGACTGCAACCATTGACTTGGAAGAAATTTGGTCGTACCGCACTAGCCCGTCCCGAGGCCTACAAGCCGTCTCAGCCCCGCGTTACCAACATTTCCGCGCTAACCTGAGGCTCTCATCTTCGACCGCAGATTTTGACCCCGAGCACCGGCCTACTCCAGTCCAGGCACTGCGATTGCATACCCCTGAGGAAGAAATTGCTCTGGGTCCTGCATGCTGGATGTGGGACTATCTGCGTCGTTCCGGTCAAGCTGGTTTCATGCTGCCTCTGAGCGGCGGCATCGACAGTTGTGCCACGGCAACCTTGGTATTCTCCATGTGTCGACTAGTCTACCAGGCTGTCTTGGACGGCAATGAACAAGTCATTGCCGATGTCCGTCGCATCGTGGGCCCCTACCACGGACAAGACTGGTTGCCAGAAAGCCCACAACAGATATGTAACGGCATACTGCACACTGTCTACATGGGAATGTCGCAACAATCAAGCACAGAGACAAGAAGCCGTGCCAAGAGGTTAGCCGAAAACATTGGAAGTCACCATCTTGAGGCGGATATAGATGATATTTATGAAACTCAGAAGAATCTACTAACTAAAGCCACTGGTTTTACGCCACGATTCAGGGCCCATGGTGGCCAGTCTGCAGAGAATCTAGCTCTGCAGAACATTCAGGCCCGAACGAGACTTGTGTCTTCCTACTACTTTGCACAGATGCTGCCTACTGCTCGAGAGAGACCTAATGGTGGCAGTCTCCTAGTTCTTGCTTCAGGAAATGTCGACGAGTGTCTTCGTGGCTACCTGACCAAATATGACTGTAGCAGCGCCGACCTCAACCCTATCGGCTCCATATCCAAGACTGACCTCAAGCGCTTCATTTCCTACGCACAGAAGGAATTTGAGATTCCCATTCTTGGCGAGTTCCTCGATGCGACACCAACCGCTGAGCTCGAGCCTCTGACCGAAGGGTATGCGCAGAGCGACGAGGTTGACATGGGCATGACCTACAAGGAGCTCGGCGTGTTTGGCAAATGTCGCAAGGAGATGAAACTCGGCCCCTACGGCACCTGGCTTCGCCTTTCCCACGACTGGTCTGATGAGTACACACCCCGACAAGTTGCTGAGAAGGTCAAGCGCTTCTTTCACTACTACGCCATCAACCGTCACAAGATGACGACCATGACGCCCAGCTACCACGCCGAAGCTTACTCTCCTGATGACAACCGCTTTGACCTGAGGCCCTTCTTGTATCCACCTTTTTACAAGAATTGGAGCTTCAAGCGGATTGACGAAGAGGTGGAGCGGTTGGAGAAGAGGGCGCAGGAGAAGAAGGCGTGAGTTGGGTAGCATGGTCATGTATATATATGTGTCATGATTGTATGTGGAACTGTAAAGAGATTAGACTACCTAATACTCGATAGAGATGTTTAGAAGGAAATCAATGGAGTCATAGAATCGTATCTCGACAAGTGGAAAGTATACGTACCTTCCACATAGGTTATGCAAAGAGAACACGCATCTCCTTGAATCTTCAACTTCTTGATGGAAAGTACAGATTCAAAAACCACCTAGACTGTTTTCCGTCGCTCGTAAAACGGGGCTTTCTTTCCTTCTGCATCTTGTTTGTCGTTTTATCATCACCTCTAATGTCATGTGGCCTGCAGATGGTTATATCCGGGAGCAGTTGGCCAGCCTCATGATACCTTTCCCACTACACCTTGCATTCCGGCCCAGGCCCCCACCCCTCTCACTGCAACAAATAATGTCCCCGTCTGATCAGTGTGATATCCGCCATCCTAGTATGCATGTAGGTGCTCCTACTTTCGCTACAATAAGATGCGTGGAACGAATGGATTTGGCGGCGCTTAGTTAGTGATGTCTGCTGGTTCAGCTTTGTGCGGCTGGTCAAGGGATGCCAGCACTGCCCCAGGGCTCACAGTAGCCTAGCTGCTTCTTTTGCCTACAAAGATGCGAATTGCAATCTACCAGCGCAGCCCATTTCTGTTACAGAACTCGCCTCATGGATGGTCTTTCGGGAGCAGCAAGCGTCATCGCAGTGATCGACATATTCGCCAAGATCGTCTCGCTGTGCGTTCAATACTCTACAGACGTTAAGGACGCAAAGAACGATATCGGACGCGTGCAAAAAAAGGCCGACGCCATCAACCGCACGTTGGAGAGGATCAAGCAGCTGCTTGATAGTCAAGACAAGACATGTCCCTCTGCCACTAAAAGTCTTTTCGATTCGCTTCAACAATGTCTTAAGGAGCTAAAAGACCTAAAGCTAGAGCTAGAGCCAGGCAAGACTCGCAGAGGTATGAGTCGATATGGCTTGCGTGCGCTTAAACGGCCGTTCAAGAGCAAGCAGGTGGACAAGATTGTTTTAAACTTAAGCGGATACGAGCAGACCTTCAACTTAGCACTGCAAGTCGATCAGACGTAAGCCTCCACATCTAGATTTGTCATGTATGGACACAGTGTATCACTGACCCTGTAGAACTCTCTTGCTCAGCATAGAGCAGAAGCTGGGCCTTCCCAAACTACCTGTAGCAACAGGCGCCTACTTCAACTCCCATGACGAAGAGCACAACGCACGATGCCTACTAAACACTCGCACCTAATTGCTGGACGAAATCGTCACATGGGCAAATAACAAGAACAGCAAGTATATATTCTAGCTAAGTGGCATAGCTAGTACGGGAAAATCTACCATTGCACGGACGATTGCTTAATCATTCGCTAGTAATAGTTAGCTACGAGTAAGTTTCTTCTTTAAGTAGGGTGAGAGTGAGCGCGGCAACGCCTTATAATTTTTCACTACCATCGCTATAGATCTAGCTACTTACGAGCTAGGTATACTATCTAGTCTTAGGGAGGCACTTAATAAGGACTTAAATATACTATAGAAGACTCTAATAGAATAGTTTAAGACTCTAGTTCTAAAGCTACTTTTAAAGATATAGTAGCCTTATTTATTAGCCTTAGCGCGTGTTATTATAATAGACGCACTAGACAAATATAAGTAAGAAGTAGATATTTAAGTAATTCTTTAGCTACTTACTTAAATAAAATACATCTACTTAGTTCTATAGTTCTACTATAGATTATTATTACTAGTCAACTAGAGCTTTATATCCGCCTTGTAATGGGCTGCGCCCGTGGAGTGAAAGCACGTGATTGTATCACGTGCCTACATCACGTGCCTATATCACACCGCTTAGTTAGAACTTACTCGTACGAAGAGTAGAGAAGCAAGGTATAAAGAGAGAGGTGTCGTACGACAGCTTAACTCTTCTTATCTTTCTTCTTCTGTACTATAGGTTAATGCAAACTCGTTCGAAGGCCTCTTCGCCCATAACATAAGAAGAAAGATCACCACTCTTATCTCTTCTTCGTACGAGAACGAAGAATTGAGAACGTTCTCTATAGGCACGGCAAGCGCGCCTAAGAGCAAGTTACGATAAAATGATGGACTCTGAGCAGTTCTTACGAAACGACGGGCCGGACGGCCAAAATCACCAAACGCAACCTTCGTACGAGGATCTCCTTGCTAGTAATGAGCAACTTCGGCAAGGCCTTAACCACGCAACAACGGAGCTTCAACGGGCTCAGAATATATTTCAAGAATTTGAACAGATGAAAAACCTTC